AAGATAAAGGTAGAAAACAGTTTAGTGTTGTAAGAGAGCAAATGTAGATGATCAGGTGTGTGCCTGTAGACGATGTGTTAATCCATGGGCTTTTATTTTTTATAGAGACTTTCAAATAGCTTCCTACTTGAAACTATGTTAATTGTATTATTAGAAAATATGACTTTTTATGTCAACCAAAGGAAAAAGTAGACTAAATGTCCTCCCCGATTTTGAAGATAGCTCATTTCATATTTTTCTTCTGATTGTTAAAATTCTGGTTTATTGTTATCTAGTATTTTTTTCTAGGCATTTAGAAATATATGTGTGTACATCTTAAAAAATATAATAAGATATAAGTAGATATATATCCTTTGGGTGAGGAAATAATTTTGAATAGTTTTATACTGTGCTCTTTATCCTGAGACATGAAAATTTTATTTTTCTTCTTATTAAAAATTATTCAGTAACATGATTTTAATATAGCTGCATTCATTATATTCCAATGTGTAGATTTTTATTTTTAGCTATTTAAATTGTTTTCACATTGTGGCAGTTTAAGTACTTCCCTTATAATTAAATCGTTATCTATATCATTATTCCCTTAAGCTAAATTCCCAGAATTAGAATCACTGCTTCACTAAATGCGATCCTGCTGTACCAATTTATACATCTATTAACAATGTACTGGGTATTACAGTTTTTGACCAAATTCAGTAGGTGATAAAATGAATTCTTAATTTAGTTCACTGTTTTCTTCTATTGTACATTTTTATGTCTTTATCTCCTCTTTGTTTTACAAATTACTCATTCAGATGCTTGTGTGTTTCATGTATTTAAAAAACTGTTCATCTTTTCCTTGTTTATTTGAAAGAGCTAATTTTATAGATTATGAATATTAATCTGGACACTAATGTTTTTAATAGTACTTTGGGTAAGTGCAAGTGAATAATATAGTAGGTGGGGGAATTTCTAATGTTAAAGGTGAATTAAAACATAATAAATATCTGTTCTCTTTTGCCTTAGAGTGTGTTGATGTCAATGTTACTCCAGATAAAAGGCAAATTTTACTACAAGAGGAGAAGCTTTTGTTGGCTGTTTTGAAGACGTCTTTGATAGGAATGTTTGATAGTGATGCCAGCAAACTGAATGTTAATCAGCAGCCGCTTTTGGATGTCGAAGGTAAGAAAAATGCAAGTATAAAAACAGCTCCTAAAATTTAGAGCTATTATGATACTTTCCTTATTTTTTCCTGAGGTCGTTTTGGACATGAAACACAATCTCCTCTTAGGGAGGATGTGTCACATTATATGTATCTGCAGATGTGAAAAAGCAAAATGAGCAACCACATTTAGCACACACAGGGCTATGTCTTTACCGAGATGCAACTGTTTTTCCTCAGTAAATACTCCTCGATGGCCCCAAGCCTATTGTTGATTTCCAGAGTTCTAAAAAAGTTGATTCTGACGGTTTTTGCCAGTGTTCCAGTTTCTTTTATGGAGTGGGGAGTTTTTGGAGGCCCTTGGTCTGCCATTTTCCCGCACTTCACCCTGTGTGTTCTTCATGAGCGGCATGTTGAGATGAGAGTGGCCACAGAGCTGATCTGACATCTGCAGTGATGTGCGTAATTATTACTTTACTTCCCAGTCATAAATCATCAGCCATTTACTTAAGTCATCAATTTTATTCTTTTTTCATTCAAACCCAGTGCATCGGGACAACTGGGAAGCAGAGGTGAGCTCCAGCTGCCCCTTGGCAGAGAGCAGGATTGGCCAGCTCTGCACCTGGGGGTGGGGACCCTCTGCTTGGCCAGCCTGCCCCCAGGCCCCTGTCCACATGTGCAGAGATGGGGGTGGGGTACCCATCATGTGTCCTCTGAAGGGAAGAGATCGGGAGCTGCTGGGGCTGAAAGGGGCTGTGGGGAGAGCCCTGCTCCAGTGAGAGGAGATGGCTGTGCTGAGCCTTTGCACACTGAGGGTACTGGGACCCCTAAGCCAGGGGTTTAGGCGAGGGATGGGATGCAGGGTGGCTTGATCCTAACTTTTCCTAACACCCCAGGGGTGGGGAGAAATCATTTGGAAAGTTGGGGACTAGGGTGGCTCCTGCAGGGTGGTGGTGCTGTGAGGTGGTGGGAGAGGAGCAGCTCAGAAATGCTGGCTTTAGTGTGGCAGAGCTGTTGACTTTTACGTGGTGGGGCCCTTGTTTTTCCTGGCTGTTCTCTGCATGGGATATCCTGGGTGTGGGCAGGATGGGGTAGCACACACATCCTTGTGGAATGAGCCAGCGGTGGCGTCTCTGAGCTCACACACAGACACTTGGCCAGAGAGCCTGCCCTATAAAGAGAGCCAGCCCAGGGTATCTGCATCTTGAAGCACAGCAGAGCCAGTGCCCTCCTTTTAGGCATTTTATTGCATTCATACAGAAGCAAACGTCATCAGTGTATGAGCCCTGAGATCAAGAACAGCACCCACTGAGCCACCTCTGCTTATATTCTAACCCCCGCAGTAACCGTTTTCCTGACTTCTAACACTGTAGATTTGTCTTACCTAGTTTTAATTTGAAGTCGTCCAGTGTGGATGCTTTTTGTGATTTGTTTCTCTCCATGTCTTGTTTGTGAGATTCATGTGTGGCAGGTTGCTCATTCCTTTCAATGCTGCAGTCTGTTCGGACAGTTGGGCTCTGATGAGGAGCGCTCTCAGGGATGCCTGCATCCGGGGCCTGCTGAGCGGGGTGGGCATTCTGAGGGAGCAGCAGTGCTGGGTCACAGGCACGCGTTTGGATGTCAGAGACACGCACACAGTGTCACAGAGGGGTTGTACCAATTTCACTACCACCAGCCATATTTAAACATTGCATCTGACCCTCATCCTTGTGAACATCTGTTGTTTTTTTACTTTACTCATTCTGGTGAGTACACAGCGGCATCATATTGTGGTTTTAAACTATACACCCTTTATGATTAATTGGAGCTGTACGTATGTTTGATTAGCCATCCTGACCTCTTTGGTGAAGTGCCTGCGCATATAAAAATACCCTCAACTCCAAATCCCTGATACCCTCTCTGTTGACATCTGCTTAGGTAACTTAATGGAAACGCATTCTGCTGAAGTGGAAAAGCCTCTGCCGGGAAAGCAGGATAATCCCCCTTTGTTAAGGAGTCGAGGAGAAGAGAAAAGGGCCGTGACCATTTCCAGACTGCGAGAGGCCTTTTCTCTTCGTCACACACCTGAGAACAAGTCTCAGGGCCTGAGGACTGTGGGGCTGAGACGGGTTTCTCCACGACAGAAGGGAAGCTCAGTGCCTTGCAGCTCTGTGGGGCCCCTCTGCTCCCAGAAGCCCATGTCTGGCCCTCAGGAGGAGGCGAGGAGTTCGGATAAGGGCCCCTGTGAACGTGGGGACAGAGTGGAGATGGGGAAAGACTTGGGGTGCGGTGACACCTGCAGTTCAGGGGAAGGGTTCCGCACCCTGGAAACGGGCAGCCATGCCAGCAGCGATCAGGCAGCCTCCCCTGAAGACAGGCTTTCACGAGAAAATGTGGAATCCTGTCCGAAGTTACCTGCCTCTGACCGTGGATTTTCTGACACAGAATGCCGTTTAGACCAGGCGGACAGTGGGCGTGAATCCACAGTTCTGCCTCAGCCAACTTGTCTCTCATCCTCAAACACAAAGCGTTTTAAAAAAGAAGAGATTCCTTTAAATTCTGACATTGCTCAAGAGCTGGTTAAAGCTCAGAACATGTCCGCGTCTCAGGTTGATGTAGCTATTAAAATCAGTAAGAAAATAGTGCCCCTGGATTTTTCTATGACTTCTTTAGCTAAACGAATAAAGCAATTACATCACCAAGAACAGCAAAGAGAAGATGAACAGCATTACAGGAAGTTTCGGGCAAAGATTTGCCCTGGAGAAAATCAAGCAGCAGAAGATGAGCTAAGGAAAGAGATAAGGTGAAGTTTTTTCTTAAGACTATTTCTGCTCACATTAGTGAGCTGCTGAGTAGAGCCAAAGGCTGGTCCTTCCTGACTCTGTTTCTGCTCCTTGGGCATCTTCTGCTCTGCGGCATCTCTTGGGGCTCCGGTGGTGCCCTCCCTCGGCCCTAGGGTCTGGTCCTCTGGCTCCTGCTGCCTGGGGGCCTTCCCTGCACCACTAACTCCACGAATCCACACATCCGACTAGCCTTGCTTCTCTCTCTGTCTCTCTCCCCTCTCCCTCACAGATCCCAGTTTTGACTCCACAGTGTGGTCATGAGCCTTACGCATGCATCCTTGCGCCATGTGTTTTCCATTCGCCAGCCTCTTTTCGTCATCTCATGTTGCGCAGATTTTCTTTAAAGAGCTCAGTTCTGCTGCCTGAGACCTTTCAGGAATTTCTTGCTTAGATTTTACGCCACGTATATCCTTTCCATCAGTCCAGATAAATCAGTGCCCTCTGTGCCCGGTAGCCGTCTCTTCTGAAGGTTTCCAGTGCACAGTCACATCCCCCGGTGGTGAACTTGAGGCAGTGTGAGTGGACATTGCTCTTTCCCAGTTCCCATTTTAATGTGTATTAGGAAAAATTATAGCACATTATCAAGTCTGTGATTTCAAGAAGATTGCATAGGAAAAGCTAAGCTAAGAAAGGAGTGAAAGAAAAAGTTTTAATAATACAGATAATAGAAAACTGGTCACTACCACTCTTGACAGTAACTGTACAACATGATACATTCTCTTGAAATATTTAACTCTTACCTTTTAAAACTGTGTGTATGCATTGTCTCACTAGTTACTGAAATGTGCTATCCTGTATATAGTGCAAGTCGGTAATTAATTGGACTTTAATAGCACTTGTAGTCTAGACCACATAGGCTTTGCCTAATTTAGATATGAATTCTTCAATAGCAGATGTTATATAATTTGTTTGATATTCATAATGCCTACCTTACATTAAGAAGGGTTTTCAGGAAATCTCTCCTTTAAAAAGTGTAATTAATGGAGGTTGCACTTTTTTGAATGTGATGTGGGGTCTGACCTCTGAGGGAGCCAGGTTCCTGCAGACACACACACAGACTCACACAGTCCTAGAAGGTACGTGCTTGGTAAGGAAAGACATGTCAGTTGCCCCAAACTTAATCGTAGCCATCCTTTATTTTTGGATTATTTTAGCCTTCTCAGTGATTGAAATGAACTGTAACTCTTCATAGAGGCTTTTAATTAATTCATCATTTATGGATCATCTCTTATCGTGGTTCTTGAATTTGACACATGAGAATCACTTAGGGAGTTTTTTGAAGCAGAACCTATGACCAGCCTCCAGGGTCAGATAGATCTTGGGTGTGGAGCCCAGGAATCTGCATTTTGACAAGTACCTCAGGTGGCCACTTTGAAAAACCCTGAACCACAGGGGTCTCGGTGTTGGCTTCTGGCTTTCCGTGCGCAGCTGCTGGGTTGGTCCTACACCTCTTCTGGCCTGTGGCTGCGATGAGGTGAGGCTGGTTTGCTTTTTCCTGAGAATCACATTGGGAGCTAAGGATTAGGCTTTGTGTCAGTAATTGAAGGTACTGCAGGTAGTGTTCAGTAGCTCCTGCTTCTGTGTTTTGAATTATAATTAAATGTATTGAGTGGTGAAGTTTTGTTTCTGCATTGTGTAAGCCAGATGCTGATTTTAGTTGATGGCAGGAGATACGTTTGTCAAAGACATGGAAGACTTGTGTCCTCAGGCCGGTGCAGGTTCTTCCCATGGATTGGAATGTCCTGGCAGAACTCAGACACACTCAAGACGGTTCCAGGAAGAGCCCGCAGTCAGAGCCAGGGAGTCGGTATTTCTGCCACTTACCAGATCACTGCCTCTCAGCTCCAAATCCACTCTTCTTTGCCCTGCTTTACAATCCTGGAGGCCAAACCATGTAAGCATTTCTCCTGGGTCTCTGTTAGGATGAATCGTTTGGGGGAGCTAGAGGGATAGGAAAGACAGCAGGTGTGGTGGCTTCTCCCCTTGCTCCTGGGGCACCCTTGCCTTTTCCACCAGCAACTCACCCTGGAGCTTCAGCAAGGAGCAGCTGTGCCTGCTCCCTGCTCTGACAGGGTCTAAAGCTCAGCTTGTGCGGGAAGGGGCTGCTCTTCCAAGAATTCCCTCCTGGACACACTCCCTCATCCCTAAAGTAGTAGCTGCTTCCTGCGTCTGCTTCTCTTGTGTTTCTTAGTAGTTAATCATCTTTTGCTATTTCACAGTACTTTAAAATTTCCCTCCTTAAATCTGGTGTGGCTTTTGTCTCCTCACTGGACTCTGATGATACAAAATTAGTACCAGGAATGGTTCTGGGAGCCAGACCCTCAAAGAGGGTGTTGATTTGTTTTGGTTGTGACCTTGGACTTGAGCTCAGTGCTGTGTTCTTTGCCAGTAGGAACTGGGAGGGGTCAGTGATTGACAGCATGCACCATTGCTAGACTGCTGCTTATGGTTGACTGTCACCAAGTGCCAGCTAAAGCCCAATCCTCGGGGCCCAAGGAGCTGCTGCGGGGCCAGGGGTGGTACTGACAGTGACAGCCTGGGTGTGGGATGGACCTTCCGTGCACTGGAGCACGCACAGAAGGAAATGACAGATCCTTAGTTCTCAGCTCAAGTCACCGAGGACCAGAACTTCCTTGGCAGCGTGAGCAGTCTCATGTCTGTAGCCGCAGGGCTGAAGTTGATAAAAATCAATTTTCATAAAATTAAATTTTGCTGGGTGCAGAATCACAATGTCAGTTTCTTACATGAAGGGTAGCAGTAGCGTCTGTCTCTGGTCTGGGCTGACTGACATATTGTCACCAATGGCATTCGATTGTGAAGCCACCCACCAAAGGCCCCATAGGTGAGCCTGGCAGATGGTGGAAGGATTGTTTCCCAGTATTGGGAACAAGACACCCTTACCCCCTGTTGGTGGAGTGTAGACTCTTACAGACCTATCAAAATGAAAAATGTACATGCATAATTCCACATCTAGGGATCTATTGTACAGAGATCCTCCCCCAGTAGAGCAGAGGTATGTACAGGAATGTTGCAGCTTTGTTTGTGTGACTCAAAATGTAAACAGCTGACACGTCCATTAGTAGATAATTTGTCAGATTATGGCAGATCCACACAATGAACTTGTATGTGGCCCTTAAAAAGAAGTGTGGGTCTGAACAGACATCTAAGACACACCGTTGGATGGAGTGTGAACTGGTATGAAGAAGTAGGATTCCATTTTTGTTTTTTAAAAACAACATCCAAAGATCTGGAGGGACATGCGCCAAATGAACACTAGTAACTAAGGTCATTTCTGGGGAGTTGGGTGAATGAACAGATGACAAATTAGAAAGTGCGATGATTATTAGGGACTTTATGTTTCTGTATTTTTTTATGCCAATGTCTTTCATAATCAAAAAAATAATCTCTTAAAATGTCATATAATGAATGTTTTCTGTATACAGTAAAACAATGTTTGCAGAAATGGAAATCATTGGTCAGTTTAACTTGGGATTTATAATCACCAAACTGAACGCGGATATCTTCATAGTGGACCAGCATGCCACGGATGAGAAGTACAACTTCGAGATGCTGCAGCGGCACACTGTGCTGCAGGGCCAGAGGCTCATAGCGTAAGGGCTTCGTGCATTTCACATACACCCCCCGGTTTACGGCCTGATAGCATGTTTGTATCTCTATATACATAAACGTACATATATATGTACATATATACATATTTTGCTATACACATCCCTGCAGTAGATTGTTATACTTCTTACATTATAATAGTTGTGTGTGCCATTTGTTGAGTACTCATTATATGCCAGGCACAGTTAAAGCAATGTACCTGCCTTCATTTAATCTCACAACCCCTGAGGTTGTTGGAATTACAGTCAGCATTTCACACTTGGTAAGAGAGGCACACACAGGCTAAGTTGCCCAAGACCACACAGCTAATGTGTTCTTTAGGTGTCAAACCCTTTTAGCTACTAAAATGTGTTGATTGCTTGTTGGCCAGAAAGTTCTTTTGATGAAGGGCGGCTTATAGTACGTAGCATATCTGTTCATAGTGCCTGGAATGTATGTGTTCAGAAAGCCTGCCTTTGTGTCCGTCCTCAGCCCCAGGAGAGCATCTCTGGTGGTGTGGATGAGGTAGTTACAGCAGGATTTGGTATTTCTCTCTCCTTTTCAAATTGAATGTTTTATACTGACCACTTTACAAGGTAGGGTGATGGTATATCATGTAAACCTCAAGTCTTAAGCAGAGTTATAAGATGAGGTCATGGATTTTTATCTGGGAAATCAAACTATATAGAAAAACTCAGATCTCAACAGAAGTAGATCCTATGTGAGGAAAATGTATGACTAAAACTGTCACTCAGATGGGAAAACAGAACTAGTTTACTGTATACTCTCTTTCCTGAGGAATGGTTTAATTGTATTCATTTTCAGTAGGAGTCAGTGGTAACAACAGAGGCATTTAATATGCTGCTTTATAATACTGAAGTATTCCTATTCCTCTTCCAGAGGTCTCTTGTTTTTAGCCATTTTGCATAAAGAAGGTCTCATTTATGCCCTTTCCAGTTGACCCAGGTAACCATAGACCACTTTAGGCCCCACATGGACCATATTTTAAGATTAAAGGATAAACACCACAATTCCATCCTTTCCTACTACACCCTGCAGAGTTTGGCCCTGGTGACCTCTTCAGCCTTTCCTAAGCCCTCTTCTCCTTATTGGCTATACTTGAGCCACCCTGGCCTTTCTTTCCTTTTCTCTTGACAGACCCAGTGAATTCCTACATGATCATTAAGAGGCATGAAGTAGATTCTTTTTGTGAGGCTCTGGGAACATCCATGGTCAGTCACAGGGCCTTTGCACAGACTGCTGTCTCTCCCTAGAACACGTCTCTGCTCCCATCTCTTACCCCCAGGTTACCTTTAAGGTGACTTCCTCAGAGAAACCTTCCTTGATGTTCTCTCTCCCCTATGGCACTGGATGTCCCTTCTTCCTGATTCTCAGTGTAGTAAGTAGACTGAGCTATGTCTTTGTTCATAGACTGAGCCTTGCATCCATGTAGACGATGGTTGCATGAGGGCAAAGACCATGTCTGTGTTTGCTCACCACTGTATCTCCTTCCTTTGGGAGCATCTGTGTTATGAAGCACTGGTAAATCAGGAGGAGAGAAGGATGGATTGCTGGATGGCTAGTGGATAGATAAATAATGAGGCAGAGGCAGGAGCAGCACAGCAAAACAAAGCCTGAATGACCCAACCCATCTTTCCCAATATCTTTATTGTGAGAAGGAAAAATAGCATTTTTATGTATGGTATTATCTTTAAGGAGGAAATTTAAAAATGTCATTGGGTGGGAGGCAGATTGAGGAACGGCAAACTACTTTTGTGGTTATTTTGACTTCTAAAAAGGACTTTAAAAGAAGAAAATTAGCAGGGAATTCTCAGAGCTTAGTGACAAGAAGGGCACATACCTGAATAAAGTGTTGTCATTCACGTTGCTTTTTGAAATGAATTCAGAGAATCTCAGAATTGTTTTGGTTTCATTTCTGCCTTGTAGCTAAATGTGTGACTTCATGAGATGGTTTGAATCTCTCCTCTGTTTTTCAGACCACAGACTCTCAACTTAACTGCTGTCAATGAAGCTGTTCTAATAGAAAATCTGGAGATTTTCAGAAAGAATGGCTTTGATTTTGTTATTGATGAAGGTGGTAAGTTATTAGGACTATGGAGTGTGTCATTTCAGAGCTGGGAGCAATCTCTGAGGTCATATAGATGAGTATATTTTATAAGAGATGGAAGGGGGTCCCCAAAAGAGTATTTTGCATCTGGAGTCTTTCAAATGTTCATTACAAGTAGCACTCAAATGAAACATGTTTTTCGAATGACGGATTTTTCTCCAATTTTGTTCTTTTAGCTCCAGTCACTGAAAGGGCTAAATTAATTTCCTTGCCAACCAGTAAAAACTGGACCTTTGGACCTCAGGACATAGATGAACTGATCTTTATGCTGAGTGACAGCCCTGGGGTGATGTGCCGGCCCTCCCGAGTCAGGCAGATGTTTGCCTCCAGGGCCTGTCGGAGATCAGTAAGTAACAAAGGCTCCAGGTGGACCCGGAGGGTCTACTCAAGCTTGTGGTCCCCCCACAGGCTCTCTGGTCAGACCCCCACAGCAGTGTGAAATGGCTGTGATTGCCACTATGTTGCATGTTCAGAGCCCCATCTCTGTCTGCCATCAGCCCAACACGGCTGCGTTATCTTTGACCTCTGACCCCTAAGTATTGCTCTTGCGGTGTTTCTGTGAGCAGGACCCTGAGAGCTTTCACTGGTCCCAGTGCAGTTAGGCCCATCGTTCTTCTGTTTATGCTCACTGTCGTCCATGGACCTTCGGGTATTCACAGTGCCAGCAAGTAAAGATATGCAGCTGCCAGGCCTGCTCGGGGCTGCACAGGTTGGCGGGCGTGGTTGTGGCCTGGTGTGCCCCTGCCACTGGAAAATGGGGGTGGCAGTTGGGATGAGCCTGGTGTCAAAGTAAAGTAAGTCCATTGCATCAGCTGGGCTGTGGGGTGGCCAGGACACCCTGCCTGCACTTACTCAGCTATTCCTTGGACCCTGTGGTGTGGCCTGAGCTATTGCAGGTGTTGGGAACACAGAGGTGACAAGACAGGAGAGGCGTTTGCCATGGTGGAGCTTATGGTTTGATGGGGAGAAAGAGACATAAACAGAAATGACATCTTCTGATACCTATGAGTTCAACAGAGAAATTCAGGGCAGTACTGGTGCAGGGAATGACCACAGAGAAGTGGGGTGGGCAGATGAGGTGGAAAGGCTGGCTGAGGAGGTGACATCTGCATCGATGCTTGGGAGGTGAACTGGAAGCCTTGGCTGAGAACTTCCCAAACAGAACAAATAGCAAATGTGAGGTGTGGGGCATCTCAGGAGTAGGCATCTGAGCTGTGCAGCTGGAGAGGAGCCAGGATGACAGCCTACAGGGACCCCCAGGTCCTGTGGATCCTGATCCGAACCTGAGAGTTTGTGCTGTGTGGGTGGGGAGTCGCTGGAGGGGGACCATGGAGGTGGGGGGAGCAGCAGCTTCTCACAAGGGCCGGGGAGAGGCCTGTATTAGACATGCTGCATTTGCCGTCCCACTGAGCTGGAAGTGGAGGTGGCTGAAAACAATCACATTAATGAGGCCACAACTCAGGGCAAATGTCAGTGCTGGAGAGAGAATTTTACATGTACCCTCCAGCCATGGGATGGGATGAAATTACTCAAGGGAAGAATTTAGAGCAGACACTAGAGCCCAAGTGCTGACTTCCAGCGCAGACACTGCTTTGGTAAAGACCTGATAGTGATCTGCCAGGCCTGGAGCTTCTAAGAGAGCCAGTTGGGACGCATCAGTGCTAAGATCCTGGCATTTTAAAACTCTGTGTCTTAATGTGACTCAGAGATCTTTGGAGCCCCAGGCTGCAGAGTCCCTGCCTGGCAGACCCATCACACGGCGGTGCGCCCTCCTCCAGCCAGCATGCCTGCTGCCCGGGGAGGGCTTTGCTCTGGGCCCGGTGCTGCCGCCCCTTCTTGCCCTCCAGGCTCCCTGCCATGCGCGGCTCCAGCAACGAGGACCACCTTCCCGTCCGCAGTCACACCAGTGTCCCTCTGGCCTCATGCCCTTTGTGCTTGCCCAGCCCTTTGGGTTTCTGCTCATCCGCCTTCACATATCGGTCTCCTTCCTGTCCTTGTGCCCTTCCTGAGCACATGACTGCAGTGGCATCTCTGGGCCCTCTCAGGCACGGCCCCTGGGCAGTACTTGTTTCTCTGTTAACTTGTCCATGGTCTGTCTTCTGCCAACTTGGGAGAGCGCTGTTATCCTGCCCCTACAACTGTGCCTGGCCCATGGAGAAGGTGACAGGTTCAAGTGTGGGCCTGTCGTCACCTCTCCTGTGTCTTAGGGTCTGGGGTGCTCTGTGATGGCTGTGGAGTCTGCTCCTCAGTGTGTATGTCAGAAGTGATGTGCGCTCTGGAGGAAAACAGGGCGAGGGCCCAGAGGAGTGGACAGGGGTGCTGTCAATGGCAGGGATGGGGACACTTGGGCAGAAGCCCCGAAGGAGAGGACAAGTGAGCCATTTGAGTGTCCCAGGTAGAGAGCACGGTCAGTGTTCAGGATGTGAGGGCGGGTGCTTGCTCTGTGCTTGTGCAGGCCAGGGGTGCCAGCATGGCTGCGGTGGGGGAGGGAGGGATGTGAGGTTGCTGTGAGGCCCCAAGGCCGGTGAGGGCTGGGTGGGTGAGCCCCCTGGGCTTCCGGTCAGGTGGGTGGGTAGCACGGGAGGAGGAGCCATGTGACCTGACTGTCTTGAAAAGGAGTCACTGGCTGCTGAGCGGAGAAGGGTTGACAGGGACAAGGGCAGACACAGGGGCCCCTGTTAGGAGGCTGCTGCGGCTGTTGAGGTGAGAGGTCAGGTTAGGTCTCTAGCAGCATCCGCAGCCCTGGAGGAGCTGGGGGCTGTGGGGGAGCCTCACTAAGAGGGCTGGAACCCAGACATCAGAAGGCGGGCTTTTCTAGGAAGATTTTCAGGAAACATTGTTTTTGACTTGTAATCTTATCCCACCGTGTTTCATAGAAAAATGCTTCTAAAGAGTTGCTATTCTAACCAAAATCAGTAAAACTTTAAACCATTGTGTCTCATTCAGGTGATGATTGGAACTGCTCTTAACACAGGTGAGATGAAGAAACTCATTGCCCATATGGGTGAGATGGACCATCCCTGGAACTGTCCCCACGGGAGGCCGACCATGAGACACATTGCCAATCTGAACATCATTTCTCAGAGCTGACAATTCTCATATTGTAGAACTGTGAATCTTATTGCAGATTTTTCTGTTTGGAAAGGAAGGTTTTAAGTAACCATCTTTTAATTTCAAATGTAATCTGTTACTTAAAAAAAAGTGTCAGATTCATTTAGAAATGATTTTGAGAATCTTTTCAAACCATATGGAGCATTGCTTGCAACATTTTTTGTTCTACATTTGAGTGTGTGTGTGTGTATATACAGCCAAGAGCATGTTTTACAAAAATAGGAAGCGCACCTTGAAAGTTACCTAGGCCTCTGATCTGGCCTAACATATTTTAGTCTAAACTTCCAGCTCTTAATGATGATTAAGTTCAAAGTGGTTTAATTCCATTAATTAAAAATTACAGTCTTTGGGGGTTAGTGATTCTCAACCCTTATGCACATTAAATTTTAAAAAAGGAATAATCCAAAAACCCAAGGGGGAGTCTCTGCTCAACTTGAAGAAAACTTCCAGGTAGCACCTGGGGTTTTAAATGTTCCCCAGTATAGCCAGGGTGGCAAAGTGCTGTTGTGGGCAAGGGGAAATAAAAGATTTTGATTTTTCTGTAACTTCAGTGCTGTGGTATGGTTTCTTTGGGGTGTGAACTGCAAAGTACAGTTACTGGCCCTCAGTGGTATTGGAGGTGTTAGCATCCCTGTCTGTTGCCACATAGCTTTTCATGGAATCTTGTCTTAGTTGAACTCTGCCAGAAATGGAAGCACGAAACACCTCTCTGGAGTCCAAATGGTGGCTGGTGTGCAGTGACTAGTGTGGACCACCCCTGCTCTCACCCTCCCTGTAGGGCTTCCATTGCCAAACTTAGATCCTTAGATGTAAGGAGACTCAAGTAATAATTGTTGCCATTTGTCAAGCACTGTGCTGGTGGCCCATCTGCAGGATCTTATTTAATATTCACAGGAACTCAGCAGGTTGGGGTTGTAGGTAGCCCCATCCCCAAGACAGCCTTGTCCCAATCCCAGAACCCTTGATAATGTGACCTGACCTGCCAAAGGGGCTCTGCAGGCGAAATTAAGGGAAGAAGAAGAGTCGGGAAAAGGTGCGAGTACCTGGATTGGCTGGTAGGTCCAGACTATCGCACATCTTAAAAGTGGAGAACCTTCCCCAGATGGGCAGGAAAGAAGTAACGTTGCTCATTTCTTGGGTGGAGGAACGTGGCCTCTAGAAACCGGAAAAGACAAGGACATAGACTTTTCCCAGGAGCCACCGGAAGAACCCATCGCTATGGGACTCCTAACCTAACTGTAAGGTGATAGAAGTTTGTGTTGCTTTAAGTGACTTAAATTTGGGGTAATTTGTTTACAGCAGCTATGGAAAGCTAACACCTGAATTATTCCTGTGTTAGGTGGAGATAAGGGCTGAGAGGCCAGCGGCTATTAGCAGACCTGGGAAAACTCAGGTCGGGTGCTTCCAGCTCCAGATTTCCACCTGACCTGGACTAAGGCCAGTGCACTGATGGTCCGCGGCCCCTTTAAGAGCGGGGCGGGGCGGGGCCCGCCGTTGCCCGGAGACGACGTCCGGGGCGTGCCTCCCAGTACCACGCCACAGTCTCCAGCCCGGTGAGAGCCCAGCGGGGCTGGCAGGTGCGCGACGGGTCAGGGGGGCCCCAGGAAGGGCGGGCACCACGGGCCCGGAGCGCGCGCTCCTAACGAGAGAAGCAGTCGCAACTCGGCTTCAGGATGGGAAGCGCCCTGGGGAACGCAGTCTGCCTGATTTGTAGTTAAGATAGAGGACAGAGAGCCTAATTGGAGGCCCCAGCCACTTGCTTCGCCGACGGGACAGCAATGGGGAGGGGAAGCTGAAAGTAATGGGGTTTTGAAGGAAGAGAGAAGCAGGACAACGTTGGTGAGAGCAGAGCCTAGAGGTGGGTGTCCAAAGGATGCCATTCAGACAGAGGAGGGCGCATGGGTGTCCATGAGCAGGACCCACAGCTTGCCTTGCACACCAGAACTCCCCTGTGTGTCTTGCTTGGTGCACCTGGATGCCCTCGAAGTGGTCGTGTTGCAGGGCCACGGAAGCCATGGTTTTGGAACCTTAGCTCTGCGCCCCTGCGCAGTGATTAGCACGCCGATTCTTGTCTGGCACAGAAAGTAGACAGCTAACAATTTCAAGTCTGAAAACAGGGTGGTGACATAAATGGTTGTGTGCTTATCCCATACTTCAGGGATTTTCTGTGTGTCATCTCATTCCATCCTTACAAAGAGACTATTTGATTATCTGGAGCAGGAGGCAAAGTAGCTTTGCCCAAGAGCTGCTGGCGGGGGCAGGGCGGTAGCCGGGGCCTAGCTCTCGAGCACTTTGGCATGCTGACATTAAAAAGTGGCCTTTTACAGTAGGAATTGGCAGCACATAAGACATTGGAGGTTAAGTAGCCTTTTTAATGTATAGGGTAACCCTGCTTACTGGAACACTATCTGAAAAGAAATGATAGACGGCCAATTTAAGAAATTTTACAAACCACTACAGCAATCTTGGGGTTGTGTTATTTTTATAAACGGGTTATCTGAGACTTATAATTAATTTTTTAGGCTTTAGGAGAGTGATAATGACACTGGTTTGTAAAGCTGAAATTTTAACTGCACGTGAAATAGAGATAATTTTATTTTTCAGATAATACTCATCTGTGCTTTGAAACAGAGAGCTGTCAACCAAAGAGGCCACTTGACACACACGTATCACGTGCACTTCAGGCCTTCTAAAGGCAATGGTGAAAGAAAAGAAAAGACTGGACAGAAAGGGGGACAAGCCTGCCCGCTCTCCCTCCGCACTCTCGGATTATCCAGAGTTCTCCAAACAAGACGGGGATGCCACCAGGCAAGAAGGTGCTGTCCGGCTGGGAATGCAGCTCAGTGGAGCAGAATCCAAAAAGGAGTCCCAAAACCACCATCAGGGTGAAGGTGCCACTCAATATGAAGAGCCCGTTCTGACCAAGCTCATAGTTGAAAGGTGATTTCAGTGGGCTGCGCCTCCCCTGCTCCCTTTCTGCCACTTTCTGCTGTCTGTTCTCTGTGCCTCCAGCCTGTGCCCCGACCCTTCTGTCTCTCAGCAAGCTCTAATCGTTACCTCCCACCCGCGCAGATGGCTGTAAAGATGTATGTCTTTAGCAGTACTCTCTCTTCTTGGGGTTTAGGTTCAAAGTTTTAGCTCCCTGCTGGACATTGTCCCGTGGATTTCAAACTCCCAGTGTCTAAAAGCAGAGACTGCAGGATTGAAATAAGGTCTGGATTTAAGTTTTAGCACTCTGACCATCAGTCCCATCACTGTACCTTTCTGAGCCTCACATTTTTACTTGGGGAAAATGAATGAGAACACACGCCTGAGAAGGTTCCTCTGTATGACGCTTTTTCTCTCCCAGCCATCAACTTCTCCACTGGTCCCTGTTTCTGTAAGGGCACCACCCTTGTCCTAAATTTCCAGGCCTGAACTAGAACTACCCTCCTCCTCTCCCGCACCTTTCATGGTTTTTCCCTCGTGCCGCTCACAGCAGTCCTTCCTCTGCATGGCTGCTGCTTCACTGCCTCCTCACCGGGCTGTGGTGCTCGCTCCCCAAAGGTCCTGACTCTAGTTCTCCCCAGGCCTCCTTCAGGATCTGCCTTCCTGATGTGTGGCTCTATTTACATGACTTCCTGTATTCAGTATCTAACAAATCACCCCAAAACATGACAATTAAAACAGTAATATTATTTCACAATCCATGGGGGCAGCTTAGCTAGATGATAATAGATTCTCATGAAGTTCAGTCCAGATGTCAGTCATGGCCACCATCCTCTGAAGGCTTGGTGGCTGCACACCCTGTTTTCCAAGCAGCTCACTGGCATGGCTGTGGGCAGGAGGCCTCAGTTCCTCAACCCATGGACTCTCCACAGGCTGCTTGACTGTCCTCATGACATGGCAGCTGGCTTCCCGAGAGTAATCCAAGAGAGGGCAAGGGCAGGAGCCACAGTGTCTTCCGTGACCTAGCCTTGGACATCACCCTCTGTCATTTCGACAACATCCTGGTGGTCACACAGGTCAGCCCCGCTGGTGTGAGAGGGGATTCCACAGGGGCGCCCACACCTGGAGGTGAGAACTGGTGGGAGCTGCTGCGAGGCTGGCTACCATGCTCCTCTTAAAAACATTTAGTTTCTCACAAACATTGTCTGTAGAATAAAACAACTGCCTGATGCTCTGGCAGTTCCCAAACCCAAGAGCTCAGCTACAGTCCCATTTGTCTCTTCCTTTGCTTACAGAGATTGCCCTCCTGGAGTGTCTGTCCCTCCTTTGCCAATGACCAAATCCCACCTACTCTTCAAAGTCCAACCTGTTCCATTAATTCTTCCCAACAGGAATAACTTTTCTCAAAACTCTCCTACTAATCACTTTATTAGTATTACTATATACACAGTGTTTCTTACTTTGTATTATGTACATATTATGTATGAGTTCCTGTAATTTGTAAGTCTCAAGTTCTCTACCAGGCTGATAATTCCTTGAGAGCAGATATACTCCCAGGATATCTAACAACAGACCTCAGGCCTTTTAGGGGCTCAGTCAAGATTTATAGTTTGAATGATATCAGTAGCTTTTTATTAATGAGCTGGGTGCCAGCTCTGGGTTGAGCCCTATGGAAGGATATTAAAAAGGATGAAATATGGTCTGTGTAGGCAGCGTGTAATTATGTCCAACATTGTGCTGAGTTTAGCTCAGGGCACAGTGTCAGCAATGTGCCCTGGATTCATTCAGGGAAGGTGGGGCCAGCAATTACCTTGACAGGTGACCCAGAGGCATTGCTGTCCTGGTGCTGAGGGGACAGGAGCCAGGCCATCAGTCCCTAGAGATGTGTATGCATGTCTAGTTGGCAGGAAGAGGTGATGCCACTGAATGGAGCTATTAAGAATTCTCTTAAAAACCCTTTTTGTTTTCTTTATTCATTGTTTTTAATTACTAAAGTATCACATGCTTGTGATAAATGAAATAATGCAAAGATACCTTAAAGAAGAGCTAATCACATCCCTCCACCACATTCCAGTGTCACCTCCTGCCCCTCCCAGGGGTTACCACAATCTCTCATTGATTGAAATAACACCTTTTGGGTTTTATAGGTAAATAATCATATAATCTTCAAATTAAAATAATGTCCTATCTCTTCTTTTCAACATTTATGCCAATGACTTAAGTTTCTTGACTTTTTATATTAACGAGGACTCTGAAACAGTATTGAATGATTGGTGGGGAAGTAGGCACCCCATTCATGGTCCTGATTTAATGGAATTGGCTCAGTATTTCACCCTTAAAAGGCTTACATGCTATTTTTTTTTAATAAATAGCCTGTTAGGTGTGGTAGTTTCCTCATATTACAATATCACTTAGAATTTTTAAAGAAATGATTGCTGAATTTTACCAAATACCTTTCTGGCATCTTGGTATAAACATACGATTTGCTGGTATAATGAATCATGTTTATAGGTTTTCTGCTACTGGATCTTCCTTGACTTTTGGGCTAAGCCCATGTGGTCCTGGCTGTCACCAGCTCATTTGTTTTTACCTCACTTGCCTCAGAGCCAGAGAGGGACGAGCCAGGTGGTGACTCACATGTTATCCATTTGGCTCTGAACTCAGATTCTGGGCACCATTCTCGGTACCTCGCTCCCCCAAGGCCAGCTTCTCAGTGAGCCCTGCTGACCCCATGTCCAGAATATATCTTTGTAAAAATTATAGTAAAATACATCTCCCTGTATGGCCCCGGAAGATGACTGGTTATCCGTAGACGGGTAAGATTCCTCAAGGGAGGAACAACCTAAGACAGGCACAGTCGCAGGGGGGGCCATCAGGTGAGAAATTGGGGATCAGCAGAGGTGAGGCTCAGAACCTCACCCCCCCTGCTTTGAGAGAAATCTTCTGCATCCGTGGATGTCTTGCTGCCCTTGTCTAGCCTGGATTAATACTTAGTCCATAGGCACACACCTGATCATCTGATCATCTACATTTGCCCTCTTACAGCACTAAACTATGTTTTCTACCTTTATCTTGCATCTACCTACCACTTCAGCATTTTATTAAAAATAAAAATAATAATAATAATAGGAGAAATGTGGGATCAACATATAAATCAAGTACAAAAATCAAACGAATATTCATATTTGACCTGATTGTTTATAGGTCATAATGCATGATCAAAACCGAAAGTTTCTGTGATGAATGCCCTTGTACTGTTCACCATGTAAGAACTTATTCACTATGTAAGAATTCGTTCACCATGTAAGAACTTGTTCGTTATGCTTCAGAAGATTGGAGACTGATGAGAATTAGGCTTGGGGTTGATTAATGATTGTGCATTGAGCATTGACCCCCCCTATACATAATTTTATTGTTGTTAACAACCATTTGATCAATAAATATGAGAGATGCCCTCTCAAAAAATAATAAAAAAAAATAACTTTGGTACCTCAAAAAAAAATTATAGTAAAATACACAAAATTTACTATTTTAACTATTTTAAGTGTACAGTGGCATTAATTATACTCACCATGTGCAACCCTCACCTCTGTTTCCAGAACTTTCTCATCACCCCAGACAGAAACTGTCCAGAACACACTGTAACCTTCCATTTCTTTCCCCTTCCACTGCTCCCTCCAGTCGTCAGTTCACCCTGTGATCTCCTCCTCCACTCAGCAGCAGGAGTGATCTTTTTAAGACATGACTCTGATTTTTGTCCAGCTCAGCTTACAACCCTCTCATGATTCCTCCTAGAGCTTTGGGTTTTATCTCTATCATGACCCACCGTACCCAGCCTGTCTCAGGGTCCCCCTGACTACAGGCTCTGGCTGTGCCACTCTCCTTTCTGTTTGCTGAACTTGAGATTCCAGGCTCTCTCCTGTCTCAGGGTCTTTGCGTGTGCTGTTCCATCTTCCCGGGATCCTGTTCCCAGCGATCCTCCTGTGGCTGCTTCATGTCTGGCAGGTCTCAGTACAGCTCTTGTCCTCAGAAAGGCCTCTCCCCTGGGTGCCTGTATGCTGTGTGTAGTAGCTGCCCCCTCCTTACTCTGTCACATCCCCGATGGTTTCTCCCACAGAAGTGGAACATGACTTGGAATCATCTTGTTCGTTTGATTCCTGTTTATCTTCTGTCTCCTCAAAAAAAACTGTAGTCTCCCATGGGCAGAAACTTTCTGGACTTGTCACAGCTCTAGTCTCAGTGCTTAGAAGGGGACAGGAACACAGTGGCCCTTGGGGAATGTTTGTTGGGTGAAATGAATGTGAGATATTACCTGTACTTCTTCCCTGATGTTTATTATGTACTTTAACCCGCTGTCACTTAGGTTTGCTTACATCATTCATTGCCTTGAGCTTTATTTCATTGTAGCTACGAAGGGGAAAAAGTCCATGGACTCTATGAGGGAGAAGGCTTTGCAGTCTTTCAAGGCGGTTGTACCTACCATGTGAGTCACACATTTTGGGAATGGGCCGGGAGAAGAGGTGTCAGGTGATGGTTTTAGATTTGCATCTTCAGAGAAGTCCACTGATTTCTTCAAAGGAAACTGGAAATACTTAGTGCTGATGTTATTTTGAACCCTGATAACATATTTTAAGATAAAAGCATGGCTCAGTACAACTGAGGTAGTCACTTTAGATTGTCTTCTTTTCCTGATTTTTTATTTATTGTACAAACAATATTAAGGTGACTTAAGTAAATAAGCGTGGAATCCCAGCACCACCATCCCTTTGCTTTAACTTTTCAGTTTGCTGTGCCCCTTTCATGCCTTTAATGGTCGGGCCAGTGTTCTTACCTGGGCAAATGCGTTTTGTAGATGACATCTCGACTCTTTTCCCACTTATGAATCCTTCTCTGTATTGTTGCATGATTTGCATAACTTAAAATTTTTGTATGTGGGAAAATATATCAGAATAGACTTACCATTTTACCCATTTATAAGTGTACAGTCCAGAGGCAGTAAGCACATTCCTTAAGTACAACCATCACCACCATGCATCTCCAGAACTTCTCATCTTCCCTGCCTCCTTAATTACTATTTAACTATTGCATAGTGTTCTCATTTGCTATCATAACTATGCCACAGGTGTTACTCTTGGGGTGTTTTCAGTTTTTGCCGTTATTAATAATTCCACACAATGAAGGCACACATTCAGATTAGCAAAGATGTACGTGCTTACTGTAGGAGACCCAATTCTGTGGTTGGGGTCATAGGCCTGAGTTTTAGTGCCCTGACTTTTTTCCCCCTTAACCTACAGCATGTTTATTTCCTGTGTCATAACAACTCTTTAAAAATGCTCTTTTATTATTGCTGAATAGTAGGCATTAAGATTTGTCCCACCTGGCCTTTTTGGCATTTAAGCCGTTCCATCATCGTGAGTAGAATCCTCTCCGTGTGCTGTGTGCAGCACTAGTAGGCTTACAGTTCAAAACAATGCCCCGTGCATGCTCGGCTGCCCAGAACGAACCCCTCCCGGCTTGCTGAGGATGTGATTGTGGCTCTTACTACCCCGAAGGCTGAACATGCTGATGGTTGGCACCATAATTAATCCCGTAACACAAACAGGAGTCACAGCTTGGAAGATCGCAGGCTGCCTGTTTCCCTGAGTGCCAGCTCCAACCCCGTGAGCCCAGGCTGACCCGGACTGGTAATAGGATGTGTCATCCTGCTGGTGAAGTTAGGGCAGTGGCTTCACGGGGTGGCTCTGGGCACCAGCAGTGTCTGTATCACTTAGGAATTTTTTTTGGATGCAAATTCTTGGGCCCCAGCCCAGACCTGCTGATGAATCAGAATCTCTGCGGTGGGCCCAGCATCTGTGTTTTCACAGCCCACGGGTGACTGAACAGAGAGTCTGAGAACCACTGAGTCAGGGTGCTGTGTACGTGGAGTCCTGGTTCTCTCCTCCACCCACCTGGCCTCTAGTGAGGTGCTCTAAGGAGAAAATGGGTGTAATCTTCTCCTTGTTTTCTCTGACAGCACTTGGACATCCAGGTGTGTTACATTTTTAGTGACTAATTCCCATACTTTAACAATAAGCACTCTACACATAATGAATTATACTGAAACTATAGTGTACACATATACGTATATGTCAGTGTACACACACACATGTGCATCTGTAATTCCCAGTAAGGTAAAGTGTGAAGTTTACAAGTGGAGTAATTTCTGATAACTAGATAATGGTTTTAATCAGGTCTATCTAGTTTAAATCATTTTTAAAAGTCCTTTAACTTTGAAATACAAAACAAAGTCTCGGAATTCTTTTGAACTATAGAATTTTCCAGTAGCTTAATTAGGAGAGGAAGACAGTATGAATTCATAGCTCATGTTTAACAACTGCACAGGATTGCCTGTGTAAGTGTTAGGGAATTGGATTTTTTTTGACAACTGTGCCCCACCCCATCCTTCCTAGAACAGGGTGGACACCAATGTGGTGCCATCTCCATGGAGGGCCCTGCTGCAAAGATAAGCATATTCATGCAGATGAAGGGGGCCGGGGCTCATTCTAAGAACTGAAACTGTGGTAGGGGTTTGTAAAATCCACAGCTGGTCCTAAGAGTTTGTTGTTCTGTTTCAAAGGGTATGTTTTCAGAAGGACTCATGCATGGACAAGGGACTTATATTTGGGCCGACGGATTGAAGTATGAGGTAAAGCATAAGATGTGTTATAGTTCTAAGCCGTACATGTGAGATTTACGGTCGGGTTCCCACAATTAAACATACTCCTTTCATAAAAGTAATTCGGCACATAGGTTAAAAAAATCCATAGACCCAAAGAACAGAGGGGAAAGGCAGCTCATGCCTGCATGGTCCCTGGTGACTGCTGCAGTTCCATCTGTGTGTTTGAGAGGGTTCCATGTGATCTCTGACCTCCTTGTCACGAACACAAATGGTTTATTACACACTCTTCTGTACCTTTATTTTTGAGAGATCAAACCATATCCATTCATCTGGACCTAACTATTTTCACTGGCTGCTTGTATTCCATCATGTGAGTTCAGTTAACCCATCTTGCTGGGTTGAGAGGAGTGTGTATTTTTAAACTAATTGCTAGAACCCACCCACTCTGCAGAGAGGGCAGCGTGGCAGCCCCGCTCACAGGGTGAGTGCCTGAAATGCTGTTCCAAAAAGCTCGAGTGCACAGCTGCTGACCGATGGTGTTCATTGACAAGAGGGAATGAAGAATATATTTAAACCAATGCACATATTCACATAACAGTCAGGTATGGGAAACAGAAGCCCATTTGGGCAGTTGGGTGCCTTGAAGCTGGACAGTGGGAGCTGGGCTGCAGAGGTGCAAGGGAGCCCAAGGTTGGGTTCCAGCAGTGGCTTCAGGCCAGACTGCTCAGGAAGCTCCCACACCCCAAAACACCCTGCCTTCTAGCCTGTGACTTTAGTTCCTTGTCTTTAGAAGCTTCTAGGGGGTGTGTGGCATTCTCCTAGGCACACACCCCCGACACCAGGCTAGCAAGAGAGTTTACGGGCAGGTTCGGGCTCTCACAGAAGCATCTTCAGGGAGGTCAGCTGGCCTTGTGGAATCCGGCCAGTGATCCAGCCAGGCTGTGCTGCCCTCCTGGGAGAGAACCAGGCTTGGCCACGTGGAAATGCCCACCACCCAGCCAGCATCCTGGCCCCAAGCAGAGTGGACTCTGAGAGGCATCCACTGGGCAGGTGGTGGGCTGACATGTCACAGAGTATTCTGAAGAATCATAGGGAGAAGGAAGGTTTCCACGAGTGATCACTGGCCTGGCTAATCCTCAGAGTCCCCTGGAGGGGACACTGGGACCCAGAGACTTGGCCTCCTTCCACGTGGGTTCCAATAATCTGAAATTCCCAAGGCCAGGATTGGAAGCTGCCACTGCCATGGCACCTGCTTGCTTCTTGGGGCTTAGTCTACACAAGCTTCCAGATATTTTATTCTGCCTGGGCTTCTGCCCAATGGAGGACCAGGGAAGAGAGGGTGGGATATGTAGGGAAGGTTGGGGGTGGGAGCTGGGGGATAGCTAGCTGTTTCCATGGAGGAGAGACAGGAATGGCTTCAGTGGTCTAGGGCATGCCCCCAGCGCACAATCAGGGTCTCTCCACTGCCTTCTGCCTGTCACTCTCTGGCCATTTGCCTCAGGGAGACTTTGTGAAGAACATTCCCATGAGCCACGGCGTGTACACATGGCCAGACGGCAGCACCTATGAGGGAGAAGTGGTGAGCGGCATAAGGAATGGATTCGGCACATTCAAGTGCAGCACGCAGCCCGTGTCCTACGTTGGGCACTGGTGCCATGGCAGGAGACATGGGAAGGTGGGTGAGACAGCTGTGTGACTCCCATGGGTGGCCAGGACGTGCTGCCATGGAGGGCGGGGGGCGGCTGTTAAGAGCATCCTCACTTGTTTATTGAGGTGAAGTTGCCATCACATGAAATTAACCATTCACAGTGACCAGGTCTGTGGCATTTAGTCCCTTCACAGTGTCATGACCACCACCTCTGTCTACTCCCAGAACATTTCCATTCCCACAAAATAACCCTGTACCCATTAGCTGGTTACTCCCCACCTCTCCGCCTCTCCAGTCCTGTTTCTGTGGGTTTGCCTATTTTGGATGTTTCATATAAATGGAACATGTGACCTTTTGTGTCTGGCTTCTTTCACTGAGCACCATGTTTTTTGAGGTTCATCCATGTTGTAGGTACTTCATTCCTTTTCATGGCTGAGTAATTTTCTGCCATGTGGATGGACCACATTTTGTTTATCCATTCATCTGATGATGGACATTTGGCTGTTTGCATCTTTTGGCTACTGTGAATTGCACTGCTACGAATCTGTATGCAAAGATGTACCTGAATACTTGCTTTCAATTCTATATACCCAGGCATGGAATTGCTGGGTCATGGAGTAACTCGACGGTCAACACTCTGAGGATGGACCAAATGGTCCACACTGGCTGCACCATTTCTCATTCTCACTGGCAGTGTAGCTTATAATAACTTGTAAGCCAGGTTGCTGCTTTTCGTCCTATGTTTTGCTTTTGTATAGAATGATAAATATTCTAGCAATGTTTTTAGAAAATGTCATAAGAAAAGTCTACCATTATAATCATTTTACTCAGATTTAGACTGTCCTGTTGTGTTCCTTTTTTTATTTTCTAAGCTCAGAGCAGATCAGGTCATACATTGGAGGGTTGGGGTCTCTGAGACAGAGGCACCTGGATGGTGGGAGAAGGAACAAGTTAGTTTGATGAGGAGAAAGAAGATAGAAAAATCACACAGTCTCGTGCGTGCATGCAGAGATGAGCCAGTGAAAAGCAGTTTGCGGCCACTCCGCATAGTCCCAAGGACTTGCACATGGCTGGGGCCACTCCTGGAGAGGAGCCATCAAAAAGGCTATGCTGTGTTCACTTATATTCAGGGCAGTAAAATAAGATGACAAAAGGGATAAGATAAAATGGTTTTCAAGCATAGAGTGACCTTCAGCTATATGGAAGGTGCCACTCTTCACTTTAGGTGATAAGGAAACAGGATTTCTTAGGTACTTCCTTGGTTCACAGTTACCGGATGTAACGAAGCTGCGGAATACAGCGGGCGGGGCCCTTCTGTGCCTTGATGTGGCACCTCGTTTTAAGGAGTAAATGACGTGTGATATTATCGCATTCTCCCTTGTGGATACTTTACCGTTTTCTTCATGGCAGAACAGAATGTAACACGTATTATATGTCTGACCTAAGTATGGCATTGACTCCAGCATAGTTTAGACTCCTTAAATTCATGAACTTTTATCTTTCTAAAGTTTGATTTTTTTAAATGCTATTATTTGTTTTAGGGCTCCATTTATTACAATCAAGAGGGCACCTCTTGGTACGAGGGAGACTGGGTGTACAACATCAGGAAGGGATGGGGCATCAGATGGTAGGTACCACCACTACCACGCCCGGGGCGTGGGCGAGAGGCGTGTTCAGGCCCAGATCATTGCACTTGGGCTATGTAAAGATAAGGTACAGAAATCATGGAAGACACAATTTCTATATAAGCAGGGTGGAATATTTAAATTAACCCCAATATTGTCTCCCTAGTAATGGAAATTTAGAAAAATACCATGTTACATGATGTCTAATTGTACTAATTTACTTTATGTACAAAACTGCTTTTCTTCATCCTCTATGTGAATCCTAGATCTTTACTGTTAGTTGCATATTTTCTGAAGAATGTTGACAAATTTGCTTGATTTTTAGACTGAGCTGGTAGTCAGTATTTTAACTATTAAGACATTTGGGGGCAAAATACTAAGATCATAATACTATAGGGAGTTATTTTGAAAAGATTTAAAGCCCTGCTTTCACCCACTGTGTCACCTTATTAAATGGTCAGAAGGTTTAATGAAGTGACTTAGTCTACCCCTAAGACGATTCATTTTACTGACCACATGACTATCCACTGAATTTAAATATAGGGAAGACTAGGCACAAGGGCTGGATGTCTTCAGAGGTGTAAAGAAAAAGTTTAAAAGAAAGCCTTAAAGGTAAATGCTATATATGAGATAACTGATTTTTTTCCCTTTTTTTCATCCTAGTTACAAATCCGGAAATATATATGAAGGTCAGTGGGAAAACAATATGCGCCATGGGGAAGGCAGGATGAGATGGCTGACAACTAATGAAGAGTACACTGGTCAGTGGGTGAAGGGGGTCCAGGTACTATGCTTGCTGGTTTTAGCAGAATATACCCAGAGGCAGGCACTCTGCTGATCCTCTGCACATTTATTATTTGGTGTGATATTGTATGGTAGTCTGAAATCAAGCTCTGCTAAATCTAGAAATTCAAATTATGATTTACTAGTCAAAACTGCCCCCTTTTTAGTGCTATTTTATTATTTAGTTTTCTCTAAAGGTCTCACACACAAGCTGGGTCCTCACATTGGCAGATCCACGGCTCCTGTAATGGACTGAGACTATTATTTACCTTTAGAAGCTATGTATTTCCTGCACAGATAAGAAAAGCTTTATAGGGTTAATTTTTATATAGTTTATATAGCTAGGATTTTCTGAAAATATCTTTTTTTTTGCCTTAAAATTAAAAAATATTTTTATTTTGGTATCATTAATATACACTTACATGAGCAACATTGTGGTTACTAGACTCCCCCCATTATCAAGTCCCCCCACATACCCCATTACAGTCACTGTCCATCAGTATAGTAAGATGCTCTAGAATCACTACTTATATTCTCTGTGCTATACTGCCTTCCCCGTGCTCCTGCCCCTACCCTACGTGTACTAATCATAAAGCCCCTTTTCCCCTTATCCCTCCCTTCCCACCCGTCCTCCCCAGTCCCTTTCCCTTTGGTAACTGTTAGTCCATTCTTAGGTTCTGTGAGTCTGCTGCTGCTTTGTTCCTTCAGTTTTCATTTGCTCTTATGCTCCACAGGTGAGTGAAATCACTTGGCACTTGTCCTTCTCCGCCTGGCTTACTTCACTGAGCATAACACCCTCCAGCTCTATTCTGATGATATCTTGAATCATAATCTGGTCATCAGGGGCCTTGCTAATAAACTCAGATAATAGTTCTAGTCACTTTTTTGTATATTCTTTGGGATATTTTAAATATAGATCATCAGGTTGTTTGTAAATACTGTGAACTTTATATCTTCTTTTCTAATCTATATGCCAATTTTTTCTCCTGCCTATTGCCCTGCCTAAGGCTTCCAATGTGGTAGAAAATAGGACTGGAGAGAGTGACATTCTTACATTGTTTCAGATCTTAGTGGGAAAGATTTCAGTCTTTCATTAAGAGTGATTTTAGCTGTAGGTTTTTCCATGGATGCCCTTTATCAGGCTGAGGAAGCTCTCTTTAATTCTTAATTTGCTTGCAATTTTTATCATGAATAATTTTATCTAACGCTTTTTCTGTCTTTGGTTAGATGATCATGTGGCTTTTCTTCACCAGTCTGTTGATGTGAATTACAGTGATTTTCAGTGTTGAACCAACCTTACATTCCTGGGATGAAACCCAGTTTGGTTATGATAATATTTTTATTTTAATGTTTTGCTCCATCCAATTTCCTAATACTTAGTTGAGAATTTTTGTGTCTTTTTCTTGAGGAATACTGATCTTGATATTTAGTATTCCTTCCTTCCTTATAATATCTTCGTTAGGTTTCAGTAATTGGTAATGTTGGCCTTATAAAATTATTAAGTGTTCTTTTCAATTTTCTGGAAGAGTTTATGGAATTGGTACCATTTTTCCCTTAGGCATTTAATCAAATATGCCAGGAAAGCCTTCTGGGCCTGGACGTGGCTTTGGGGGAAGATTAACTATAAATTATACACTAACTGTACATCAACTTCTTTAGTAGATAGTGTGCTATTCACGCTCTCTCTTTCTTGAGTGGCTTTGGAAGTTTGTGTTATTGAAGGAATTTGCCCATTTCATAAAAATTGTTAAATTACTGGCACACAGTTGTTCCTAATGTTCCCTTATTATTCTTTTAATATATATATGATCTATAGTGATGTCTCCTCTTTCTTCTGGTATTGATTTGTGTTTTCTCTTTTTTTCTTCATCAGTCTTGCTAGAGGTGTTATCAATTTCATTAAAATTGTCAAAGAGCCAGTTGTAGTTTCTTTACTCTGATGTTTTTTGTTTTTTTATTTAATTGGTATCTGCTCTTCATTACTACCTTCCTTCTGCATGCTTTGGGTTTTATTTACTTTTCTTTTCCAGAGTTGTACAATGGAAGCTTTACTGATTTGAGACATTTCTTTTTTTTCTAATACAAGCATTTAGTACTATAATTATTCCTCTTAGCACTGTTTTATCTGTATCCCACCAATTCTGATATGCTATTTTAATTTTTGTTCAAAATATTTGCTGATTTCTCCATGAGTTCCTCTTTGGCCTATAAATTATTTTTAAGTATAAAATCCCAAATGTTGGGATTTTCTAGATATCTATTGTTGATTTCTTTTTTTTAATTCTGTGGTCAGAGAATGTACTTTGTATAACTGCATTTCTTTTATACATATTGAGTTTTATTTGATGGCCCCGAATATGGTCTATCTTGATGAATGTTCCATGTACTTCTGCTTTTATTCAGTGGAGTTTTCTGTAAATGTGTTAGATCGGGTTGGTTGATAGGTCAGATCTTCTATATTGTTACTCATTCTCTGTCTACTTTTTCTATCCATTTCTGAGAGAAGGGTGTTGAAGTGTCCAAGAATAATTGTGGGTTTGTCCATTTCTCCTTTCAGATCAATCAGCTTTTGCTTTGTTTATTTTGAAGCTCTCTTGTTAGGTGTATACATGTTTAGGATCATTATGTAATCTTGGTGAGCTGACCAGTTTTATCATTATGGAATGGCCCTCTTTAACCCTCATAATTTATTTCTCTGACATCTGTTTTTTTCTGATATGAATATAGCCACCCCAGCTTTCTTTTTTTCTTTTAATTTTAATTGTGGTAAAGTACACATCACAGAAAATTCACTCTTAACCATTTCAAAGCTCACAGTTAAGCCCTGTGTGAATCCATCACCACTGTCCATCCACCCACAGAATTCTTCTCTCACCTTGTGAAACTGAACTCTGTCTCCATTAAACTCACTCCTCATCGCCCTCCTCCAGCCCCTGGTGCCCACCATCTGTGACTCCAGGGAACTTAACAGAAGTGGAATCACAGAGCCTCTATCCTTTTGTGACTGGCTTATTTCACTGTGCATAATGTTCTCAAGGTCCATCCATCTTACAGCAGGTGTCAGAATTTCCTCCTTTTTTAAGGCTGAATTATATCCCATTGTATCTATGACATTTTTTTATACACTCATTTATCAGTGGACACCTGGGTTGTTTCTTTTGGCTCTTGTGAATAATGCTGCTGTGAACATGGGTGCACAGATATTTGTTCCCTGCTTTCAGTTATTTTCAGTATATACCCAGAAGTTACAGAATGGTATATGTAGAATCATCCAATTGTTGAAAAAATTGCTTGTATTTGTGTGTTATATATACATATAATATGTTGATTTAGTATATATATGCTTGGGGAAAATTCACATGAATTCTCAAACCAAGTAGTGGTTACCTCTGGAACGTGGGATTGAGGAGGGATTCCTTTTTCTTTTTCTTTTTAATCAATCTGTACATTAACAATAAAATTTTAAATAATAATTAAAATAATCAGTATCAAGCCAGGCACTTATATACATTACCTTCAGTCTTTACATCCATCCTGCAGGGTATGTGTTATTTCCATTTTACTGATGAAACCCAGAAAGCTTAAATAATTTGCCTTAGGTCAAAAGGCTGGTTAGTAAGTAACTGAGCTGGGACTGAACACAAGTCTTTGTGACTCCAAAGTTCATGTTCTTTGCCCCTTCAAGCGAGTCACTCTGTCTGATCCATACATAATTTTAAAAGGATACAAGTAAAAAGAAGTATTTTGAGCATTTTTTATTTTTTATTAAGGTATCATTGATATACACTCTTATGAAGGTTACACAATGTGGTTACTACATTCACCCATATTAGAGTCCCCCCCATACCCCATTGCAGTTGCTGTCCATCAGCATAGTAAGACGCCACAGAGTCCCTACTTGTCTTCTCTGTGCTACACTGTCTTCCCCATGATCCCCCCAAACCATGTGCACCAATCATAATACCCCTCAATCCCCTTCTCCCTCCCTCCCCACCCGTCCTCCCACACCCTCCCCTTTGGTAACCACTAGTTCATTCTTGGAGTCACTGAGTCTGCTGCTGTTTTGTTCCTTCAGTTTTGCTTCATTGTTATACTCCACAAATTAGAGAAATCATTTGGTATTTGTCTTTCTCTGCCTGACTTATTTCACTGAGCATAATGTTCTCCAGCTCCATCCATGTCATTGCAAATGGTAGGATTTGTTTTTTTCTTATGGCTGAATAGTGTTCCATTTTGTATATGTACCACATCTTCTTTATCCATTCATCTACTGATGGACACTTGGGTTGCTTCCATATCTTGGCTATTGTAAATAGTGCTGTGATAAACATAGGGGTGCATAGGTCTTTTTGAATCTGAGAACTTGTTTTCTTTGGGTAAATTCCTAGGAGTGGGATTCCCGGGTCAAATGGTATTTCTATTTTTAGTTTTTTGAGGAACCTCCAATTGCTTTCCATATATTTTGAGCACTTCTTATGGACATTTGCTTTCTTTTCAGAATGGCTTTGGAACACACATATGGTTTCTAAAGAGAATCCCTACTTCCCAGTATCCTTTGAGAAATGAATACATAGGAGAGTTTGTAAATGGATATCGTCATGGCCATGGAAAGTTTTACTATGCCAGTGGAGCCATGTATGAGGGAGAATGGGTTTTCAATAAGAAACATGGCATGGTGAGTACAGACATGTCAAGTTTACATTTTAAAGATTATATAAAGAACTGAAATACAGTAAAAGGTGTGTCATTATCTCATAAAGTGCATTATCCATTTTGCATAGGATAACTCACTGTTAAGATGATTATATGAATTTTAAAATAATTTCCAACTTATCTATTTCCTATATATTTTAGAGGTTATTAGTTTTGTGTATGCATGTGCATGTTAGGGTGGTACTGGTTGCAAGTAACAGAAAATCTAGCTTAATCTTCCATAAATGATAAAGAATAAATGGGCTTCAGGGTTGTCTGATTCAGCAACTCAGAGATGTGGTTTCTCCTCCCTCTATCCACGATGTCTCCTATCATGTCAGCGTCACCCTCTGCTGGCCCCCACCACTCCCCCATGACTGCAAGATGGACGCTGTGGTTCCAGGCTTCACATCCACATGCCATACATACTAAGTAGGAGAAGAAACTCTTTTCCCAGAAGCTTTCCACAAATGTCTAAGTTTTACTGAGCTGAACTTGGTCATTTACCCACCTCTAAATCAGACTGTATTGGTCTGGGTTGGACAAATACCAAGAGTCCCTATTCTGTGGTGGACGCTCTGCTGGTTGCTAGCACAGTTTAATAAGACACATCGTATGTGACCTGTGTCCTAGGTGTTCAAAGTTGGGAGAGGTGATAGAGCAGATACAGACAGACAGAGGAGAGAAGGGCGAGAAGAGGAGGAGAATCAGGAGGCAGAGAACGAGGAGGAGGAGAGAGGATGCACACAGTGACATGAGACTCTACAAGCCTGATTATATGTGGGCAAAGTAGTATCTTAAAAACAAACTCCAAATCCTTGAATAAGATATTGATGTACATTCTCAATGGTTTTTCTAAGAAAATTTTTCCTAAGCTACAAAAAATTATCTTTTTGTCTGTAGGGCCGATTAACTTTCAAGAATGGGCATGTGTATGATGGCCCATTTTCCAGTGACCACATAGTGGAGTTTCCAAATCCTGAAGTTGAATCGATAAGTCACATGGACCAGTCTTCAGAATCTGCTGCCAGGAGCTGGTCCCAAGGGCCTTCCTGCATCGGTGCTGGTAGGGAGTGCTCACCTGTCCCCTGAAAGCAAATTAATCTATATTTGTATCCACTCATCAAAATACACCAAAAACTTCAGAAAACAGGTTTCCTGTGAGCAACTACTTTCTTAGTAGTTTTTTTTTTGAGTACTCTTATATCATGATATGGCAGACAATCATTTTGATATAACACTGAAAATTATTAACACTGCTTTTTATAATTATCCCCTATATTTGCCTTCATTTGCTAGAAATTATCAGAAAGCATGACGGTAGTGAAAGTAACTCCGTATTAGGATCGAGCATTGAGCTGGACCTGAGCTTGCTGCTAAACAAGTACCCTGAGAAAGACCAACCAGAGGAAAGGAGGCAGGTAAGAACCTTTCGTATTACAAATTTATATTTTAGGCTTAAGCATTACTAGAGTCTCCACAGTCTTGGGAAAATACGTGGATGACAGCTGTCATGTACTGAGTCTTTTATATGCCTGATGGATGCTTTGCATATATCATCTTACTTAATTTGAAGGCACCCCTGAGCGGTCATGCTTTATGAGAAAACAGAAGCCCAGGATGGGGACTCAAAATTACCCAGAGCCTCAGAGCCCCCAAGGGTCAAGTTACCCTCAGACCAGTTTGGTCTGAAAGCCAAGGCTGTGGCCAGCACACTCTGCAGGACTAATTCTGCTGTGCATTATTATGGAATGCTGGTATGCAAAATATCTTCAAACCCTTAGAAATCATTACAAATCTAGAAATCATGAAAAAAAGAAAAATTTTGTGTCCCTGGACCTCACTGGATTAGTATCTGGCACATGACAGCCACCAAGCCACACTCACTGTAATGGCCTCTGCTTTGCCTGGGGCCTGGTATAATTCTTTGGGGACACTATTGTTGATGTTGTTTGTGGTAAGGGAACCATTGGCACCTCAAAACTGCAGGGCATCTTTCTCCCATTTTCTCTTATTGCTGCCTCCTCGGCCCCCAGTACTTGGGCCCCCAAAGCAATGACTCTCCCCTTCCCCACCCCACCCCTTTCCGTCTCCTGGCCAACATTGTGGTTCAGGCTCCTAGTATCACTCACTCCCGCTACTACAAGATTCTGGTTAAAAATAGGGACTTTTATTACCTTCTCTAGTCACAAAAGCAGGCCATGATACTTGTAGAAAATTGAGAAAATGCAGATAAGGAAAAGTAAGAGGATCTCCACCCAAAATCTTGTCATCATGTCTCTAGTTTCGTTTTGTGCAAATTTATCTAGAAATGGAGCATTCTTTTCACACATTGCCTGTTTTCATGTCATATTTAATGATAGCTATTCAGTGCCATTAAATGTTCTACAATATACTTTTTAGACAAATAAACATATATTGATTTACCAAAAAAAGAAGGAATCACAGTGTTATTCTTTTTTGTTTTACATATACCATTTTCCACTTTGGTGTTCAATGTCAAAACGTATATGTAAAAAATTATGTATTTATAAGTATTTTTAAAAATTGTGTATTTAAACAGTACATCTTGACTTACAATTATAAAAGTAGTACATGCTCTCACAGAAAATTCAACATTGTAGAAATATATAATATAGGAGGGGAAAGAATTCTGAAATTCTACACTTTAGGGAATACCTTTACAAATGTTTAATGAATATATACTATTTAATAATATGGTGGACATATTACAATTTAGTAGGCAAAGCTTCTATTTTTTTCTTTTTAATTTGAGATGGTTTTAGGCTTACAGAAGAGTTGGAAAAGCAGTACAGTTTCCATGTACCTTTTGCCCAGCTTCTCCTGATGATACCATCTTATGTAACCATGGTACAATGATCAAATCCAAATGAATCCTGCTACAACACTAAAATAAACCGTAGCCTTTATTTGCATTCCACCAATTTCCTCCGGAGGCCTTTTTTGTTGCAGGATCCCGCCCAGGGCCCCATGTGGCCTTAGACGTCACATCTCTATCCTCCAATCTCTGCCAGCTCCTCCATCCTCACTGTCTTTCATGACTTTGAGACGTTTGAGGTGTGCTGGCCAGTTATTTTGAAGAATGTCCCTCTATTTGGATTTATTTAATGTTTCCTCATGATTATACATATTTATCATCTGTTACTGGAATCACTTCACCATATGTGGGCGTCTTTTTTTGAGCAGGGGTTCCAGATTTTTCAAGTTTCAGCCTTCTAGCTATGTCCTCTCTCCTCCAAATGATTGCCTCTGCTGTCAACTCCGTGTTTCTAGTCTGGATTCCAGGGCCTTCTAGGATCTGACGTCAGCCTGTCTTTCCCACCTGACCCCTCCTTGCTGTGCGCTCACGTGGTCACGATGGCTGGAAGTGCACGGAGGGAACTTTTCCAAACGCTGCCCTCACATCACTGAATCCACCCAGCAGCCTGGGGGCAGGAGCTGGAGTTGTTCCACTTGCACAAGAGGAAGCTGGGTGGACAGAGGTGACAGCCTTGTCCAGAGTATGTGGCTCTATACCTTGGACCACTCCATTCTGTCCACTCCTCTGTACCAGCCTCCAGTTGGGGGACCTACTTCTCTGAAGTCCTGCTCCTCCTTCCGCTCTCTGGGAGTCATTCTGAATGTAGGTCTTCCTAGAGTCCGTCTCTCCGTCCTCCATGGCTCTCTTCCTTATGGTGTATGTGTTCTTGACTAGATCTTAAGCTTCATGGTCAAAACTCTGTGTGCTTCTCTAGAACAAAGCTTTAGATAGGGCAGCTATACATGTTTACCCAATCGAGTTGAATTTTACAAAGTACCAGTCAATGCTGAGAGCAACAGATGCCTGATGCAGCTGCCCAGGTGGGACTTTCTGTCTCTATGGAGACCCCAAATTGTTCCTCACATTATCTGAGTATTTCCTTTGGGAGGGTGAGGCATAGCGTGAGTGGTTCTGGGGGAGGACACTGCATAGGCTACAGGGTTGCATGTGTGGGGAATCTGGGGCAGCAATAGAGCCCTGAGTGTCTGGGGACCATGGGGGAGGTTAATAGTCAATGTGAATATTGCCTAGTTCAGACTTCCAGCAATATGTTGCTAATGGTATATTTTTATATATGCCATTTATCAGTTAAGGAGTTCTAGTCCTAATTTCCTGAGGGTGTTTATCATGAGTAGATGGTGAATTTTGTCAAATGCATCAATTGATATGATCATGTTTTTTCTTTTGTCTATCATTACGATGAGTTACACTGATTGAGTTTTCAAATGTTGAACCAGCCTCGTAATCCCAGGATAAACACCTGCTTGGTGTTGGCGTATGATTCTTTCCATACACTGTTGGATTCAATTTGTTTTAATATTTTGTTGAGGACTTTTGCATCTGTGTTCATGAGGGATCCTGCTCTGCAGAGATGAGGCTCTACCACTGACGTTAGATAGGCTGCCCTCACACAGGCAGTATGAAAGTCATTCTGTTGCACTGGTAGTAACAGCATGTTTTTTACTGTTACTCAGAAATTGCATTTTATTGACATGGGTTTGGATGGAGAACGTGTAACATTCATTGAGCTCTTACAACTTGTAAGAGGTAATATTATTTCACATGTTTTATCTCATTTAGTTTAGAAAACAGGTGTTTTTTTTTCCCTTTTGCTCTATGTAAGAGTAATATGCTGGCTTTCTCTTTTCAGGTAGAATATGCTATCTTAAGAAATATTACAGAATTAAGAAGAATCTATAACTTTTACAGCAGCCTAGGATGTGATCACTCTATGGATAACACCTTTCTGATGACAAAGCTTCACTTCTGGAGGTTTCTAAAGGACTGCAGACTTCATCACCATAACATGACTCTTGCTGATATGGACAGGGTATTAAGTGGTGAGTATCCCAGGTACTCCACATCTTTTGGTCTGAGGAGTAGTGTGACATCATGTCACTATGAAACCAGGTAGGAAATGTTCAGGGAGCGGGGAAGGCAGATATTGGGAGGGGTGTTCCAGGAACTGACAAACAGTCTTCTTCTCCAGGGGCCTAAAGTTACTGCAAGAGGTAATCTTGTGAAACGATAGCCACAGTAAAAGACCATCTAGAGCAGGGGTCAGCACAGTAGGGTCTGCGGGCCACATCCAGTCCCCAGCCTGTTCTTGTAGTTCTACTGGAAAATAGCCATGCCTGTGTTTACATACTGTCTGTGGCTGCTTTTACCCTACGACACCAGAACTGTGTGATTACGTCAGAGACTGGCCCACAAAGCCCCAAATATTTACTAACTAGTCCTTTGTAGAGAAGTTCGCTTACCCCAGATCTATAGTAAAAATGAAACAACCCACTAAATTGTCAGGTAGGAGAGGATCAGGGAGGGTTTAGAGTAGCCTAGAAAAGGCCTTAGGTAATCTTGGCTTTAAGTCAGAAAGTTCATGCAATAAATTTAACAACTTTGAAGGTTTTACTCTTTTCAGCTGAATTGTGGGAGGCAGGACTGAAAGCCAAAAATTCTCTATTTGAAAAACAAAATATGGGAATACCTATTTACTTCAAATTTAAGTATTTGAAACAGACTTAAAATCCATTTAGAATTAGCAACATTAATCAAATTGTGGCTCAGACCACTGTGACCAACACTGGGACAAAGTATCCTGTAAGTTATAAAGTGACCAGTTGAACTTTTGTGTGGTGCTTACCTTTCAGGTGGGATGGGCACATGCTGCTCCGAGTATTCACTAGGTAACAAGTGCTCTACTCTGTTCAGTTCTTTGACTTCTGTACCAGGAGAATAAAAGGTTTTAGGAAATACTAGGCATCAAGAATGAAATCCTGCTGTTCGCAACAAACGTGCATGGACCTTGAGGGCACCATGCTAAGTGTGGTTAGTCAGACGGAGAAAGATAAATACTGCGTGGTTTCACGTATAGGTTGAATCTAAAAAAACCGGTCAGTCACCCAGCTCATAGATAAGAGAACAGCTAAGATACAGAGAACAGATTGGTGTTTGCATGATTGGGGAGGGTGGTGGAGAGAGTGGGTGGGATGGGCCATGGTGGTCAAAAGGTACACACGATAAGTCCTGGGGATGGAATGTACAGGATGTAGTTAATAATGCTGTACTGCCTATTTGAGTTGCTAAGAGAGTCAATCTTAAATTCTCATCACAAGAAAAATTGTCAACTATGTATGGGGACAGATGTTACCTACACTTATGATGGTGATCATCTTGCAATGTATACAGATATATTGTATCATTGTGTTGTACACCTGAAACCTGGATAATGCTGTATGTCCCTCATGCCTCAGTTAAAAAAATTCTAGGCATCCTCTCCAATTTTATCGTTTTAGCCAATAATGACATACCAGCTGAAGAAATCCATTCTCCATTTACAACAATACTTTTGAGAATGTTTCTGAATTACCTCCTGCAGTTGGCTTACCACATTCATCACAAAGAATACCAGTGAGTACTACCCGTGGGGTGGCGCCACTGGTGGGGCAGAGAGAATGTTACTGTGGTTAGAAGGTCCTCTTTTTTTCAACATTCATTATGATTCTTGCATACTCTTGAAATGAAAGATTAGAAACAAAAGTCTTCCACAAGTATTAGCCACAAAACCATTGAGAAACCAGGTTAAAATTTTGCAAACACTTCAGATGTGCGTCATGTTTCAACACTGCAAATAGCTCTCAGGGTTTTATTCAGAAATAGTTCAGTACCAACCCAGAATTTCCTGTCTTTCACAGAGCAAAGCTGATGTTTTTTTTTAAAAAAGCACTTTACTTTGAAATAATTTTAGATTTAGTGTTTTGCCAAATTAATACAGAGCTCCTGTGTGCCCTTCACCCTGCTTCCCCGAATACTAACATCTTACAGAAACATGGCACACTCATCAAAATGCAGGAATTAACACTGCTACCATACCATTAAATAAGTCACAGACTTCATCAAAATGCAGTAATTAACATTGCTTACTATACCATTAACTAAATTATAGGCTTCATTAGGATTTCCCAAGTGTTCCCACTGATGTCCCTTTTCCATTCCAGGGTCTAATCGAAGACCCCACATTACATTTATTTGTCTTATATCCTTAGTCCCTACAGCCAGACTTTGTCTTTCTTGACCTTGATACTTTTGAAGAATATTGGTCAGTTATTTTGTAAAATGCCACTCGATTTTTGGTTTGCTGATGTTTCCTCATCATTACACTGAGGTTGTAGGTTTTGGGAAAGAAGGCCACGGGGGTGAACTGCCCTTTTCGCCTCATCAGGTCAGGCGTCTATGACATTGATTTGATATGGCTTACTGGGGACGTTACCCTTGAGGCTCCGTTACAGTGGTGTCAGCCAGGACTCCCTCCTGCAGATGCACTGTTTTCCCTTCTCCATATCCTGACTGTCAGAAGCCAGTCGCCAGTCTGCCCTGCTCTTGTGGAGGGGAAGTTGAGCTCTACTCCCAGAGGGGGTACTGACTGTGATGTCCTTTCAATCACAGAAGTAGAAGCCCATCGCTCTTTTTGTGTTTTACAAAACTGATGGCTGAGAATATTCATCCAAATGCTTGCTGTGTAAAAGGTAAATATAGAACTAACGGGATTACATTTATTTTATTAAGGTATTATTGATATATACTCTATGAAGGTTTCACATGAAAAAACAATGTGGTTACTACATTTACCCATATATCGAGTCCTCCCCATGCCCCACTGCAGTCACTGCCCATCAGTGTAGTAAGATGCCACAAGTCCCTACTTGTCTTCTCTGAGCTACACTGTCTTCCCCGTGACCCCCCCCCACACCATGTGCATCAATCATAATACCCCTGAATCCCCTTCTCCCTCCCTCCCTACCCGCCTGCCCCCACCCCTCCCCTTTGGTAACCGCTATTCCCTTCTTGGAGTCTGTGAGTCTCTAATGGGATTACATTTATCGAAGTTTTTTCAAAGTACAGTTTTGTAATCACTTTTTGACTATTTATTTTTCCATTATATTTTTAGGTATCTTATTCAGTGGGCAGCAGCGGACGCTCTACTCGATGAACTACATTGATAAGTGCTGGGAGATTTATGTGGCGTACTGCAGGCCAAGTGCAGCACCTCCCCACGAGCTTACGATGAAGATGAGACATTTCCTCTGGATGTTGAAGGTAACATACTGGTTTTATATCACAGGTTTTGACTTTCATTAAAGAAAGGCAAAGTATTCTAGCTATGAGGTGCAAGTGATGAGGTAAAGATCTGGGATGATTTTCAGAGCCACTGACTATTGACTAGGTCTCTTCTGGCAAAAGAGAATAATTGCAATGGTCTGTGATAGTGGAAGGGAAAGGAAATGGTAGTCATTTAAAAAAATCTAGTGTTCATCACAAAAGTAATTTAAAAAACTTATTAGTTTGGAAAACAGTGAGCACATCTAATTTATACATATTCTTATATGAACTATTGCTTCATGGCAACTTTGTATACTCGGAAGATAAATGATAAAGAATCAAATACTAATGGGGAACAGAGTGCTTAAAAGATTTAACTGTGTTGTGTATATATGAAAAACTGACAATAACCAAGTGTCTAGCCACAAGAAAATAGCTTTTTAATCATGTACGTGAGATTTTTGGGGATGGATTATCATGCACCTGTTGTCCACTCCCCACTTTCTTCACGGTTCCTTATTATTGAAGAGACGAGGCCATTTGTCCCCGTAGACTGGTCAGACGCCTGCATCCTCACAGTTGATCAGCATGTCCCTCTTCCCCCATGTCCCCGCTAGGGTGGTAGGGTTGCTCAGTCAGGTCCTTCTGCCACCATGGTTGGTCTGTACTGCCTGTTGCATCAGGTCAGCGATGCTAAGACTGGCCCGTGGGCTTGGGTGGTGCCAGCGTGCTCCTCCCGTTAAAGCACAAGAGCCTGGTCTTCGTGGTTATTAGACTGGAGGGTGGGGCAGGCCTTACCGAGGTGCACTGGCACCTAGTCCTCAATTTGTGCAGCACTGACTTCAGGGGAGGGCAAATGTTTCCTTTAGACTGGAGGGTGGGGCAGGCCTTACCGAGGTGCACTGGCACCTAGTCCTCAATTTGTGCAGCACTGACTTCAGGGGAGGGCAAATGTTTCCAGGGCAAATGTTTCCAGGCCAAATGCTCTTGGGGCTCAGCATCTCAGAGTAAACTTGTTCTCAGCTTAGATGTGGAAAGGGTCTTTCAGCACACCTTCCCGTCTCAGCCCTACCTGGAGTGCCATTTTCGGGGCTATCGCTCCCTCCTGAGTTCCTACAGCATGACTCAACTACAGCCTTGGCTCGCCCTCTCTCTCCCACTAAGTCTGTCCAGTGCTTTCCCTCCCTAGAACTGGGCTGAGATCTCTCCTACTCTCTCTGCCCTGTGTTTATGCCTCTAAAACAACTTTACTGTTGTTTAGAGGGAATCAGGGAAGGAGTGGAGAGGTAAGTACCAATGTGAATCCAGAATGCTTTTCAAAATGATCAGTTTTAAAGATACTTATTTCTAGAATATCACCTTCAAGTGTTGTATTGATATAAATTGACATTAAAAACATAGCTGCTTGTAATTATAGACCATTATGGTTTGATTGGCTATTTCTTTTTATAGGACTTTAAAATGATAAATAAAGGATTAACAGCAACCAAATTTGTGGAGCTCATAGCAGAGGACAACCCTTCCTTGGATGACGGCATTGACAGCAACTTTGAACTTGAGGTTTGTAAAGAGGTGTCACAAGTGGTACAGGCCCAATTCAGACTGTTTTGCCTTGTATATCAAGAACCACAGTTTGATTGAAAAGCATTCTGACCCACATATGTAAATGTGTGTATCTCTCTCCTTAATTGTATTAGAAAACTAGACTTGTTTTTTTGGTATACATGTCCTAAAACCTGTCAGGGACACCAGTGGATCTCCTCCTCTAATGAATTAGGTATAAGTGTCTTCAATTATTGGCATTTCTTGCTGAGGGACTTTGGGCTAGTGTGCCTCCCTGGGGCTCAGTCTTTTCATCTATAAATTGAAGGCCAGCAACTAATTGATCTCTTGTAGCTTTGAGTATTTTCTGATTCTGGTGTACAGCTGGCTTCCCTCAGGCTGTTCTTGCAGTCTGAAGGACAGGGAGCAGAGGGATAGTCAGGCTCTCTGATCAGGACCTTATCAGTGACTTCTGCAAGCCCAAGTTCATGCATTCTGAGGCAAACCAGAGATCTGGCTCAGTCCTTGAGCACTCTGCCTCCTCCACACCTGCCCCTATGCAGCTGAGCATGGCAGGAGAAAAACACAGCAAACCCGTCGCCTATTCCCACATTCACACCTGTGACCAGAGCAGTTACATCACGTTTTAGTCTAGCCACTGTCCCAGCCCCACTGAGGGACTGCTTCATTCTTACCTGTTTTCAATCCATAGCACTTTGTCTTGCTTGTAGTAGATGTTTCCTATCCCATTGAGAAACTGAAGCCACCCAGAGGGCATTCCCAGACTCCCACAACCACATCTGCCTGCCTGGCTGCTGCCTCTGTCCCTCGCTCCTGTGGTCAGTCTCTGCTCTGGGGCACTTGGGACCATCTGCACTGCCCTCCCTCATTTGGGCATAAGCTGCTTCTCTGTTGGACACATGAAAACATGCTTTTATTTCTCCCATCTTAAAAGCAAACAACTGTAACGAAAGTTCTTCTCCTGATCCCATTTGTTCTGCCCTCTTCCTTCTCTCACTCCATTTTAAATTGAATACATTGAAAACATTTAAAAATGTACAAGTCTATCATTCCAAAAAGTAGCTCCCTACCTTCCATTCTTGCCCTCCTCCCAGCCCCTTGCAACCACTGTCTGCTTTTTTTCTCTGTGGATTTACCTATTCTAGAAAGTAAAAGTGGTCCTTTGTGATTCCATACACATTTTAGGATTATTTGTTCTAATTTTGTGAAAAATGCCATGGCTATTTTGAAAGGGAAGGCACTGAATCTGTAGATTGTTTTGGGTAGCACCAACATTTTAAAACTATTCTTCCAATCTGTAGGCATGGACTGTGTTTCCATTTGTGTCATCATCAGTTTCTTTCATCAGTGTCTTACAGTTTTCAGAGTTCAGGTCTTTCACCTCCTTGGTTAAATTATTCCTAGGTGTTTTATTTTTTGAATCAATTATAAATTGGATTGTTTTCTTGATTTCTATTTCTGTTTGTTCATTGTTGCTGAATAGAAATACCAGATTTCTATATCTGTACTCAGCAACTTTACTGAATTCACTTATGGTTCTAATTGTTTTTTGCTGCAGTTTTTACGGTTTTATAGTATCATGTCATCAGCAAATAATGACAGTTTTAGTTTTTCCTTCCCAATTTAGATGACTTTTATTTCCTTTTCTTGTCTGATTGCTGTGGCTAGAACATGTTGAATAAAAGTGGTGAGAGAGGACATACTTGTTCCTGATCTTATAGGAAAAACTTTCAACTTTTCATCATTGAGTATAATGTTAGCTTTAGGTTTGTTTTTTTCCCTGAGGTATGCTCCCTCTATACCCACTTTGTTGAGAGTTTTTATCATGAACAGCTGTTGAGTTTCATCAAATGCTTTTTCTGTATCTAATGAGATAATCATGATTTTTATCCTACATTTTGTTAATTTGGTGTATCATGTTGACTGATTTGCAGATATTGAACCATCCTTGCATTGTTGGAATAAATCCCACTTGACTGTGGTGAATGATCTTCTTAAGATATTGTTGAATTCAGTTTGCAAACATTTTGTTGAGGAATTATGCATCGATGTTCATCAGTAATGTTGGCCTGTAATTTTTTTTGTTGTAGTGTCTTTGGTTTTAGTATCAGGGTAATTCTGGCCTCACAGACCAATTTTGGAAGAATTCCTTTCTCTCCTACTTTTTGGAATAGTTTGAGAAGGTAAATGTCAACTCTTCTTTAAATGTTTGGTAGAATTCACTTGTGAGGACATCTGGTTATGGAGTTTTGTTTGTTGGGAGTTTTTTTATTGCTGATTCAATTTTACTAGTAGTTGGTCTGTTCAGATTTTGTATTCCTGATTCTTAGCCGATTGTATGTTTCTAGGAATTTATCCATTTTTTTCTAGGTTGTCCAACTTGTTGGCACATAATTTTTTTGTAGAAGTCTCTTGTAATCCTTTGTGTTTCTGTGGTATCAGTTGTAACCTTTTTCATTTCTGAATTTATTTGCCCTCTTTTTTTCTTAAGTCTGGTTAAAGATTTATTGATTTTGTTTATCTTTTCAAAGAACCAGCTGTTAGTTTCATTCATCTTTTCTATTGTTTTCAGTCTCTATTTCATTCATTTCTGCTCTGATCTGTAGTATTTCTTTTCTTCTACTAACTTTTGGCTTTGTTCTTTTTCTAGTTCCTTTAGTCCGAGGATAGACTGTTTAGAGATTTTTCTTGTTTCTTGAGGTAGGCCTATATTATTATAAACTTCCCTCTTAGAACTGCTTTTGTTGTGTCCCAAAGATTTTGAACTGTTATGTTCCATTTTCATTGTTCTCCAGGTCTTTTTCGATTTCTTCATTGACCCACTGGTTGTTTAATAGCTCTCATTCTTTTTGAACCCACTACAGTCAGGCTTCCCCTTTGTAAGGTGGGGGCTGAAATATTGGTAGGAGGCTTTGGGGAGCTAGGCTGGGGGAGGTCAGTGGGTATCAGGTGGGGTCACAGGAGGAGTCAACTTTGAGTCACAAGAGACTAAAAGTGTCCTGCTCTTATACTAAGCAAATGTCTCATTGTCAGCTAGACCCATTTTTAGGCAAGTCTCAGCAAACTGTTAGACCAGGGAACATGGTACTGTGGGGATATAGAGCAAATTAGTCTGTAAATTCTCTGTAGATTGTCTATGATTTTGTCATGTGGTAGCCATGTGGTAGCTGTGCCCCTCTGCCATCTGTGTGCCCCAACATGCAGACCTGCCCTCTGCCTGGCCTTTATTATATTTAGGTACATTCCCTCTATATCCTGGATGCTCTGGTCAAATTTAGTGGGCCTGTTCTGGCTCAGACTCAAAGGACCCTAGGTGCAGGTGGACACTTAAAATCTGAGCAAGCCATTACCCTGTGCAGGTTCTCCCCAGGCAGAGGCAGGTCTGCATGCTGGGGCACAGATACGGCAGAGGGCATAGCTACCACATGGGTAACACTTTTATTTGTCACTTGGGTTTACAAGTGCCACTTGCCTAGTAGTTAAAGAAAAAAAAGGAAACTTAAAAATGACTGTCTTCAATTAGCTAATATAAAATGTTTCCATCAAAATAGATAAAGGACTTATCTAATGACAAAACACACATGATACATATTTTAAATGCTAGTTTTTATGCAAACTGGTGTATACCCATGATGCTCAAGTATTGAATGAGGGGATACTCTCTGGAGAACAGAAATGAACAATCAGATGAATTGCTGGTTCACCTTGAGGTGCGTTGGAATGAGTAAGACCCTTTATATTTTCTCATATTTCAGCTGGTTTTCCTGGAATTCTTTGAAGCTCTCTTAAGCTTTGCAGTCATCTCTGTCACTGACCAAAGGACAAAATCCTACTTAAATATTCCACATGATGACTTGCCTGGAAACAAACATGGAAGTGTTTACACAGTAACAAATCAGGTAACAAGTATCAGAATTTACAGAGAAAGAAATGGTTTTGTTCTGGAATGGTTAGACTGTCATCAAAACTACTGTGGACTTTCATACCCTTTAGGAAATAACAAGACTTTTATGAACTGTTTCTTACATGATCTAGTGTTCACAGGGTGGGAAGCCTGTCCCATAGGGAAGGTGCTAGGGAAGAGCATCCACACGATGCTAGATGAGGCCCTGAGAATGGGGCCCACTCCAAGGCCTAGGCACTAGACTCCACTGGATGAAGAGTCCAAATTCTGGAACAAATTGGAACAAACCAGTTTTAGGTGGAGGTTTCAGATAAGTGGGCTTGAAGGATTTCTGGTTTTGAGCCATTCATTCTGAGCCACAAGGGAGTGTCTTGGGGGCCAGTGGAAGCCTGCAGCTGGGAAGCTCTTCAGAGCCGCTCAAAGAGGTGCCTCACTGTTGTTATTGAAGGAGCGACTCACCATGAATCCCCAGCATGTCTCAGACTTCTTGGGTGCTGAGCACTTCATGTCCAGCAGCATTTCAGTCTATCCCATCAGCTAGATATGCCTCCTCCAGGTTGAGGATACGACTGGTTTCTCTCAGTCATCTGGGGACCTGGATGTGGGCCCCAGTCTGGGTCTGGTCTCTGTTCTGAAGGAAATGAATGTCCACCTTAAATCCATCCACGGTGTTATGGATGGCACTGCCTTGGGCTTCAAGAACTGTGTGTGAACACTCTGGGCTAGGGGTCATCGTCAGAAACCATGTGATCAAGTTCACTGCTGGTTTTCAATGTAACATCCCAAATGTCCATGCAGGTAAATCGTATCTGTACAGTGGAGTAAGACGCAGCCATGATGTAGCTTTTGTGTTACAATATGAGCAAATCAAAGTAATTATGCTGGGTGAAAGCAGACAAAAAATGGTGCATACTATTGTGATCCCAATTTATAAAATTCTAGAATTTCACAGGTATAGACATGTCAAAATAGTCTGTGTAGTTTATCATACATCATGCTTCATTAAAAACGTGTCTCCATGGAAACCAGAAATCCTCTGTGTTGGTGCTCACTTCTGACTCCCAGAACAGGAGTCCTTGTGCAGTAACAAGCCAGGAATCAGATATACCCTATGACAGCACCAAGTCATCTTCAAGCAAGTTAGCACCCTTGCTTGGCATCAGCAAAATAAGTAAATCAGAGGTGTGTACAAAGTTACGTGGTGTGGTACCAACCACTGTTGTGTGCCTAGTAATAAGCCCTCTTCTATGTGTTAGGGTCCTAACCAGGAACAAAATGCCCATCTTCTCATGTACTTTACACTTAGTGAGGGGAGGGAGATGATAACCAGTGAACTGCAGTAACAACTAACACTTGGGGGGTTACCAGCTGCCATGCACTTCCCAGGGCCTGTTATTACCTCTAGAGGGAACTTGAGGCATAGAAAGATTAGGAACCTTGCCCCCAGTTACAGAACTAGTAAGTAGTGGAGCTGGCGATTTGTATGCAGGCAGTTTGACTCCAGAATTTGCACCCATAACCACAGTGCCATACTTCTTTATACTTACCAGGTGTAAGAGGTATGATGAGAAGCAAGGTGGGCTGTGGAGGTTGAGGGGTAGGGTGGGGTGGGAGGTCTTCTGATTAGGTGCATTTGAGTATACCTGAAGGAAGTGAGGACACAGCATGTGATTATCTGCAGGGAGAGTGGTCTGTGCAAAGGCCCCGAGGTAGGAGCATGTTTGGGTTTCTGGAACCAGAATGGTTCAGGAGGATGGATTCATTGAGGCTGTGGGGCCAGATCAGGAGGGCACTGGCCATTGTGAGGACCTGGATTGTATTCTGAGTGAGGTGGGAGGTCCCCTGAGCAGACAGGCCAATAGGCTCACTGTGGCTTTGCTGTTGACAAACTACTAAGGAAGTTCTAGGGATTATCTGGAGGTATTTTGAAGTTTGGACTTTGAGAGGGAAAGAGAAGGCAGAGATAATTCAAAGATTTTTGGCTTGAACAACTGGAAGGATACGGGGAAGACTAGGGCAGGCGTTGGGGAGATGAGTTTTTGGGGCAACGTTAAGGGGTTGGTTTTAGACATGTTAGGCTTAACATGCCTGATTAGACACTTGCATGTGGTGACAGCAGGTGGTACAGCTGGAGACACCAGTCTGGAGTGCAGGGGTGAGAACTAGCTTGAGACAGAAAAGGGTAAACAGCATCCAGATGGCAAGTAAGGCCATTAATACATGAATGTAAATGTGATTAGTTATACGTAATAATACTTCCTAATAGACCCAGGGAAGATTTTTAAATCTTTGGTTTCTTGTGGGGAGCCTTTGAGTAGCTACAATAACTCTGTTACTTATTTCCTTAATAGTACAAACGTCAGTATTTTTATGGAGGCTAAAAAGAGTGTAATTAGCTTAAAGAGAATGACCTCATTAATAATTTTGTAATTACTTATAATGTAGAAAATAAGTTTTAGTCCATAATGAAATACAGAAGTAATATGTTTAATTGATTTCTTTTTTATATAAAAGCTCACGGTCAGGAAGTCCCCAAGTGATGAAATAATTCCCAAAATGAAATGTAAGTCTTCAGGAAAAGGGCTAACCTTTCTATCTCAAAATGGTGAGTATTTTAATTATAGAACTTTAATATTTTGTAAAGTTCATAAAAATGTACAACCTTCTTTTTAAAAGTATATACCAGGTTGGCAGTGCTGCTCTCAGGGCTGCCCCCGCTCCCCGGAGGTGCCCTTTCAAGGCGCAAGCTTAGAAAGGTTTGTTTCTTTTTTTGATATTTTTTCCAGTTGTACTGAGATATAATGTGTGAGTCTAAGGTGCCACACAGCGTAGTGACCTGACTCACACATATTGTTGAATGATCACCAAAACATACTTTTAGCATCCACCATCTCAGGTAGATTAAAAAAATGGGAAAAATTTTATCCTTGTGATGAGAACTCTTAAGAGAATAAATCCTAACTTTCATGTCATACTGCACATGTGAACTAGAGTCATGTTGTACATTACGTCTGTGGTGCTTAATTAGTTTACAACTGGAAGTTTGTACCTTTTCATCACCTTCATTCAAACCTCTTCTCCCCATCCCCTGCCTCTCATAACCGCAAATCTGACCTATGAATTTTTTTTCTTAAAGATTCCACATATAAGATCATACAGTATTTGTTTTTCTCAGTCTGACTTATTTCACTTAGCATAATGCCCTGTGTAACATGTTTTGGCATTTTGTTCTGTTGCTGAGTGTGGATATGCACGTTTTATCTGTTCTTCAGTGGACAGATGGCTGGGTAGTTTCTACTTTTGGCTCTCATGAATCATGGCCACTGGTGTGCAAAGCTTTGTGGGTATGTTTCCATTTCTCTTGGATAGATATCTAACAGTGGAACTGTTGTGTCATATGCTAAGCATATGTTTAACATTGAAAATAAATAGCGCAACTGTCCTAATGCCACACCACTTTCCATGTCATCAGTGATAGGAGGTCTAATTTCTTCAAGTCCAGCACTTAGTAGAGTGCTTAAATTTTTTTATTGGGTTTCTTGTCTCATTGAGACAAAAAGGAGCTCATACAAGAGTCCTTCCTTTATCTGATATGTTCTGCAGATATTTCCTCCTGATATGTGGCCTTTCTTATTTTATAGTAATATGTAAGGTAGTAATTTGCGTTGGCAGACCCAGCCATGGGGAAGCACAAGTGCATTGCTGAGAGCACTTTCTCTGCATGTGGAGCTTAGTGTTCCCTGTGCTAATGAATCTCCTCTTCACCTGCACTTGAGGAAACCAGGGCACAGAGATGTCACCTTGCCAAGGTCACACAGCTAGTAAGTGGCAGAGCCAAGCCTTGAGTCTGAGGACTTTGGCTAAAGTCTGTGCACATCCCTCGGCATGATGCCCAGTGATCGGGCAAGGCCGTCCATCCCAGTGAGCTGGTCTTCAGCAGCAGCTACCACACCCCTCCATGCACAACTCTACCAAGCCTACACCTGCCACGGGTTACAGATATAGACTAGGATTCATATGCAAGGTGCAGATGAGGGCTGCCCTTAGTCCTCAGTTCAAACTGTAAAATTTGGTGTTGGTCTCAAGATTCTTATTATTAGTCTTCCACTCTGGGCCCTCCTGGGATGGGAGGAGGATGTTCACAGAATCCTACCTTTCCACAGTGCCTGTCGCCACACTGCCTCCATCCCCACCCAAGCTACAGACAGGGGCTAAAAATAACTGTCTTGAAAGAGGCCAGATCTTACTGATAGTGTAGAACTATCCAAAGTATTATCTTCCCAGAATCAACTACTTTGAACACATTCGAAAGTGGGTCTCTGTTGGCATTGGCAGATGTGAAAAAACTCCTTACCAAGCCAATAATCATACTTCTTTATTCCATTCAGAGTTAAAATCCTATTATTTTCTTAATGAAACTGACTTTAAAGATAATGTACACAAAAGCCAAGAGTTTTTCTTGAAACACAGAAAATGTAAATTTTCTAAAGTCTGTAACTTTAGAAAACCAAAATACTTAAGTTATTTAGAAAAAAAATACAGGTACCAGGAAACTCAAAGGAAATGTTGGCAACCACAGCCCTGTCTCCTGACATCTGCCTTCCTCCAGGCGGCCCCTGAAGCAGTCCTGAGCTCTCCCAGGCCCACGAGGAGCACAGCCACCTCATCTGTCAGGGAAGAGGATGCTCAGCCACTACAGGAAGGGGCAGGACTGACATACACACGTGGATGCCAAAGTTCCTCCAGGATTGCATTAACACTCATTTTTTAAAAATTTATTTCATCATTAATATACAATTACATGAGCAACATTGTGGTTACTAGATTCCCCCCATTATCAAGTCCCCACCACATACCCCATTATAGTCACTGTCCATTAGCGTAGTAAGATGCTATAGAGTCACTACTTGTCTTCTCTGTGCTGTACTGCTTTCCCTGTGCCCCCCCTACATTATGTGTGCTAATTGTAATGCCCCTTATTCCCCTTCTCCCTCCCTTCCACCCATCCTCCCCAGTCCCTTTCCCTTTGGCAACTGTTAGTCCATTCTTGGGTTCTGTGAGTCTGCTGCTGTTTTGTTCCTTCAGTTTTTGCTTTGTTCTTATGCTCCACAGATGAGTGAAATCATTTGGTACTTGTCTTTCTCCACCTGGCTTATTTCACTGAGCATAATACCCTCTAGCTCCATCCATGCTGTTGCAAATGGTAGGATTTGTTTTCTTATGGCTGAATAACATTCCATTGTGTATATGTACCACATTTTCTTTATCCATTCATCTACTGATGGACACTTAGGTTGCTTCCATTTCTTGGCTATTGTAAATAGTGTTGCGATAAACATAGGGGTGCATATGTCTTTTTCAAACTGGGAAACTGCATTCTTAGGGTAAATTCCTAGAAGTGGAATTCCTGAGTCAAATGCTATTTCTATTTTTAGTTTTCTGAGGAACCTCCATACTGCTTTCCACAATGGTTGAACTACTTTACATTCCCACCAGCAGTATAGGAGAGTTCCCCTTTCTCCGCATCCTCGCCAGCATTTGTTGTTCCTTGTCTTTTGGATGTTGACCATCCTAACTGGTGTGAGGTGATATCTGATTGTGGTTTTAATTTGTATTTCCCTGATGATTAGTGATGTGGAGCATCTTTTCATATACCTATAGGCCATCTGAATTTCTTCTTTGGAGAACTGTCTGTTCATATCCTCTGCCCATTTTTTAATAGGGTTATTTGCTTTTTGGGTGTTGAGGCATGTGAGTTCTTTATATATTCTGGATGTTAACACCTTCTCGCATATGTCATTTACAAATATATTCTCCCAAATATACTGTATATACAAATATATTCTCTACAAATATACTGTAGGATGCCTTTTTGTTCTGCTGATGGTGTCTTTTGCTGTACAGAAGCTTTTTAGTATGATGCAGTGCTATTTGTTCAGTTTTTAATTTTGTTTCCCTTGCCCAAGGAGATGCATTCAGGAAAAGTTGCTCATGTTTATATTCAAGAGGTTTTTACCTATGTTTTCTTCTAAGAATTTTATGGTTTCATGACCTACATTCAGGTCTTAGATTCATTTTGAGTTTACTTTTGTGTATGGGGTTAAACAATAATCCAGTTTCATTCTCTTGCATGTAGCTGTCCAGTTTTGCCAACACCAGCTGTTGAAGAGGCTGTCATTTCCCCATTGTCTATCCATGGTTTCTTTATCATATATTAATTGACCATATATGTTAGGGTTTATATCTGGGCTCTCTATTCTGTTCATTGTTCTATGGGTCTATTCTTGTGCCAGTACCAAATTATTTTGATTACTGTTGGCTTTGTAGTAGAGCTTGAAGTTGGGGAGCATAATCCCCCCAGCTTTATTCTTCCTTCTCAGGATTGCTTTGGCTATTCAGGGTCTTTTATGGTTCCATATGAATTTTAGAACTATTTGCTCTAGTTTGTTGAAGAATGCTGTTGGTATTTTCATAGGGATTGCACTGAATGTGTAGATTGCTTTAAGCAGGATGGCCATTTTGACAACATTAATTCTTCCTATCCATGAGCATGGGATGTGTTTTCATTTACTGGTAATCTTCTTTTATTTCTCTCATGAGTGTCTTGTAGTTTTCAGAGTATAGAGCTTTCACTTCCTTGGTTAGGTTTATTCCCAGGTATTTTATTCTTTTTGATGCACTTGTGAATGGAATTGTTTTCCTGATTTCTCATTCTGCTAGTTCATTGTTAGTATATAGGAATGCAACAGATTTCTGTGTATTAATTTTATATCCTGCAACTTTGCTGAATTCAGATATTAGATCTAGTAGTTTTAGAGTGGATTCTTTAGGGTTTTTTATGTGCAATATCATGTCATCTGCAAACAGGGACAGTTTAACTTCTTCCTTGCCAATCTGGATGCCTTTTATTTCTTTGGTATTAACACTCATTTTAATTAAACTTTTTTGCAGAGACAGAAGAAAAACCCAAGGATGAACAAAAGGAGAAACTCAATATGTGGATCAATAATGTGTATACCTTCTTTGTGAACACGCTCTTCCAGGCACATAAGCATGAAGAAACTCTCAAGGAGAAAGTAAAGGAAGACAGGTCACAAGCCACAGCAATGGCCCAACAAAGGAAAATTGAAAATGATGCGCTGGAAGCAAGGTGACTTTATAGAACTTGTCCGTCCTACTCTACTTTATGAGCTCTCTCCTTGCCTTTCCTTCCTGCTTCTGTTGCTGCCATAATCTTCAGACCCAATGTCTTCATTAAAAGGATATAACCTCCTAGGGAGGCACATCCTTATTTGGTACTGAGAACCTATAGCTACTGGAGGAATTCTGCCTGGGGGACACCTGTCCTTTAGTGGTTGACTAAGATGGTGGTGACGCCTATGTTCCAGGGCTCACACAAAGGGGCAATGTGAAATAGTGGCTGAGAGGCCACAGATCTACGCTGCCAGGTTCAAACACCAGCCCTACCCCTGAACACTGGGGTGACCATGGGAAGGTCCATCACTGTATGCCTCAGTTACCTCCTCTGCAAAGTGAAGGTAATACCCCACAGGAATGCTGAGGATTAAAGGAGCTAATGTTGTGAAGTGTCTAGAACAATGCTTGGCATTGTGGTGAGCACTCCGTAAATGCCGCACGCTTACCTTTCTAGAAGCATGGTCCAGGCTGTTCTGTGTAGTCGTGTCTGTCCAGACTCCTGCCCTTTGGAAAGTACACCTCCAGCCTGTTGAAGAAAGCACTACATTATACTTAAGGAGAAAGACCAAGAGTATTTTAAAAGGCCACTTACTAGCTGCTAAGTTCTACAGAGAAAAGTGGTTCACAACTCAATTTTTTTAAAAATTTTAATTGAAATATAATTGACATACAGCATTATAGGAATTTCAGTTGTATGATTTGACAATTGTATCTATTATGAAATGCTCACCATAATGAGTAGTTTCTGTCACCATATAGTTATTATATTACTGATTATATTTCCTATGCTGTACTTTTCATCCCCATGAACTACTTTATAGTTGGAAGTTTGTACTCCTTTATTCCCTTCCTCTATTTTGCCTATCTCCCTATCTCCTTCCCCTCTGGCAACCACCAGTTTGTCCTCTGTATTTATGAGTCTGTTTCTGTTTGTTCATTTTTGTCTTTTAGATTCCACATTTAAGTGAAATCATAGGATGTCTGTCTTTGACTTATTTCACTTAGCGTAATACCCTCTAGGTCCATCCATGTTGTCACAAATGGGAAGATTTCATTCTTTAAGGCTAATATTCCATTGTGTTTATACACACAGGTTGCTTCCATATCTTGGCTATTGTAAACAAGTCATTTTAGATGTATGAAAATTTTCTTTTGCACTGTCTAGATATAGCATTTTATTTCAGGCAAAGTGATGACAATTTAGTTTTGTTTAGTTATAAAAGCTGTTGAAATCCAGAGTTGGACTACTTTACACAATATACAGCATAAAAACTGGTTTTGACAGCAGCAGACTCACAGAACCCAAGAATGGACTAACAGTTACCAAGGGGAAAGGGACTGGGGAGGATGGGTGGGAAGGGAGGGATAAGGGGGAAAATGGGGCATTACGATTAGCACACATAATGTAGGAGGGGGGTTACGGGGAAGGCAGTATAACACAGAGAAGACAAGTAATGATTCTATAGCATCTCATTACACTGATGGACAGTGACTGTAATGGGGTATGTTGGGGGGACTTGATAATGGGGGGAGTCTAGTAACAATGTTGTTCAAGTAATTGTACATTAATGATATAAAAAAAAACCCAAAAAAAGTGGTTTTGAAATTTCAAAGGGAAAAAGTTACCTTCTGTGTTTGCTTCTTGTTAGGCTGAATAGCTTGAGAGAGGAAGAGGCCAAGAGACAAGGCTATGAGGTTGACATCACTGTGGTCACAGAACTGGTGGATACCCCATCCTTGAACTTCATGCCCAGCCCCCCTAAAGAGGACATAGTGGTATCCCAAGCCAGCAAGTCCGCCCCAAGTACGAAAAAGAAAAAGTAGAGATTACTGGTTTGTAAGTGGGCCAGAAGAATAAGCAGGTGTAAAGGAGTTTAGAACCAAAGCATACTACCCAATTTCCTAACTAATAAAGTTATTAGAAGTACAGCACAGTGTTTTGGAAATATGACTACCTGGGCACACTGTGTGTCGTTTCTTATGTGGTTGGATCATTGAAATGCCTGTGTTTTGAAAACTGAGCTGAGTGAAATACAAGCATATGGGCGCATTCATTGTTTTTTAAAAAGCCAAAGTATTGGTGTTAAGTTAAGAATCTCATAGCGCCAATCAGAAGACAGTAGGAGTGGATCAAATTTTTAAACATTTCCTTAGGTCCCCTTCCCCCAGCCTAGAATGCCACCCCAGCCCCTTGTGACCACCCTGTGTCCAGATCCTACCCGTGTCCTCCACGTGTAGCCTCTCGCCGGGCTCCTTCCCTGGCTCTCTCCCACCACGTCCCAAGGAGTGCAAACACCACCACACGGCCAGGAGGCCAAACAACAGGAACAGGGGCCAGTATGCACTTGGCAGTTAAGGGAGTACTTTAGTCTGTTAGAAAATGCTATGCTAATAATGTGTTAAATTTCAGGGTAGCTACCAAAAGCATAAACATACAACCTACAACTTCCAAGCTAGCAGGAGAAAGAAACTATTATCCCACAAAAAGCTGGAAAAAGGGAAAACTACAAAGCACAAAGGTGGAATCAGATGATGCATAAGATGGCAGAAGTACAAACATACCAGTAGTCACCCATGTGAGCAGGTCAAACTCACCTCTTCCTCCCCTGCCCCTCAAATCCCGAGATAATGATTAAATCAGAACAATCAAAATTTACTTCAGTGTTTCTCTTTACAAGGAAAACATCTTAAACAAAACGAGACAGAAGGGATGAAAATAAAGATACAGAAAAAGATACACCAGGAAAATCTAATAAAGATGACTGGAATAGCACACAATATTAAAAACAAAAAACAGAATTTAAAGCAAATATCTGCATAATAGAGATAAAAGTAAAAATGATAAAAGGACCAATAACTAAGGAGATACATTATACATTATTCATGCACATCTTACACACCAGCCTTTCAAAAACAGTGTTACAGTGAAGAAAACTACAGTCATGATGGAAGAAACAGACCAGGAAGAGAAACATCTGGTAAGGTTAAAACTTAACAGTCTGAACTAACACACACAGTTAGAAACCAGAGTGCAACAGAGGATAAACAGACAAAAACACAGAATGTACCTTAGGTTGAGATGTGCCATTTCAAATGCTGCATCAGAGACCACGATCTAATGCACTGCAATTAATAAGTCAGCAACGAACACATACAATAAAGCAAGCCTGCATCACTGGAAACTAGAACAACCTTCAGTAACTCATGGGTTAGTGGGAAATCATAATGGAAATTGTGAATTATGCAAGAGAGGCTGTGCACTGATGGGTTCCTCTCTCCCTGAACTTAGCAGGCTCCTGCAGGTTGGGGAATTGCTGTGGAGAGCCCTCTTAGGGCCCAGGTAGTCCCAGTTTTACCAGACCATGCCTGGCTAGTTTTCACCAAAACTCTGGGATGGCCAGACCACCAACAGTCAGGTGAAGTTAGAGAAAATGCTCAGCTGTGAAATGCACGCAGCTGCGGTGACTTGGGAGGCCTCCATGACAGATGAAGGAAGCGCTATGTTCAGGCCACCCTGGCATGCTTTCAGGAAGTTCTGTGTGTTATCTGTGGTCTGAGAATCAAGCTAGTACTCAACATAAAAACCAACTTAGCAACTACTTTGAGCAAATGCCTCATAGTTTTTCACTTCAGGTCTAGTGACTGGAGTATGGACCCCCAACTCTGAACTCCACTGCTTGAACATCCCCCCAAGGATGAGCCAGGGGCTTCCTGGCTAGTGTAGTCTACAAACAAGCAACAAGAGGGAGACTCAATACAAACAAGAATTTCAAAAACTTTAACAATTTATTAGTCTTATTTTCCAGTAAAATATTCACATAATGTCAAAAGAATGGAATGACAGAGATGTAACCGACTACCTTAATTGCTTCCGGATAAATATGTAAAATCTAAAAACCTTGGGATCATCGGACTGAGTAGAAATTTGATTCTTCAGAGCAACTATTGCTTTACTATTGTCATTAATCCAGTCACTAATATGACCAATAACCTGCAGTAGTAAACAAAATGCTTGCTGAGTTGTTTTTTGTTTTCTAAAAGACGTTTTGGCGAGCAATTATCAATCCAAGAAGAATATGTTATTGAACTGCGTTGCACAAAGTTTCTTTACCTCTTCTGCAAAAAGAACAGAAAACAGTAAGGAACAGAGGTTTTTACTTAAAAGAGTGTATGATACATATATTAATACCTTAAATTCTTCTGGAATCAAGTTAAGAATAAAATGTATGCTTTAATTTTGACCTTCAATCTTAGAAGCTAGGAAAGATGTTAATAAATCAAAAGAAAGAAAAAAGGCTGACATGTGCATGAGGTTTCAGTACTCTCTCCAGTGAACTGTTTTGGGCCTGAGGAAGCTTGAGCTCAGAGCCCGATGGTCTAAGACACCTCAGGAGGGAGTTAAGAGCACAACATCTAAGGTCTTGAGAAATCTGATGGAACACAAAAACTCAAGCTGCAACCCTGAATTGTCAATCAAGTACTCCACAGAGGTATCACTGTCTTGATTTTACTCAATTCCCACTGTCATGAGGTGTGTATTTACTAATGTTTCTAACACACGACTATTCATACAAGTATTAATAAAAGAAAAATGTAATATGCCCTAGGATATATGCAGAAAAGAAACTTCACACCTGACTTTTCCTAAAGCGCCTGGGGTGCGTTCCTCTCACCATCCCACTGCTTGCTCCAGGTCCCATGCAGAGCAGCAAAGGAGGCCCATGCAGCGAAGGTCCTGCCCCCCTTTCTCCAGGGTAACAGAGCCATCCCATCAGCCAGAGCAGCTGTTCGGACTATGCCACTGGGGACCAGACCAGCTGCTCTGGCTGGACGATGGGAGGACACATCTGCATCATTGTCCGGCTTATGTGAGGACAGAGACAGCTGTGAGCTGCTGTATGAACCGACTGCTCTGCATCAAAATCCAGGGATCCACAGAGAAGAAAAGTGGATCTTGTTATACACAGTATATAAAGCCGTGAGATTTTTGTCTTTTAGCATTATAGCAAATAATTTTCTTTTGTCAAGTTTCCCATCATACAACGAAGTTTCCCACATACTTTTTCAAGGAACTGATAAAGAAAACCAGAATGGATTAAATGATGGTTCCCTTTAAGCACAGAGGCATCTGCTTAACTGCCCAACTGTCATGATTTGTTCTCCTTAGCAGGTTTCTTAGAATACTGAAAAGGTAGTTTTAAAACACCAGTAGCATTAAAAGTCTGCTCAAATACCAAATCCTATTTACCATTTACTTCAATCAGGTTTGCATTTTTTTGATTCAGAATAACATAGAGTTCCCGCTGGTCAGACTTTTTCCCGACAACCCAGTAATCACTCATTGCTTTCACAATGATTTCTTCATCTTCATCTACCCTGTAAGACAAGAGGTTCAAGATGCAACAGTTTATTATATAGAGAGCTATGCTATTAAAAACAAACATTTGAAACAAACAGGAAACCAGTGGTTTGAAAAGTTCAGGGAGTCACATGCACATCACATCACCAGTGGCTTTGCTTAGTGATCTGCTTGGACGTGGCACCAGGAAGGTGGTCATTAAGGGTGACCCTCTGAAGGGGCTCTGGTCACTTGGTTTTAAAGATGATCCCTTTGAAGTCTCTTCTCTTATCAGATAGGGGACATCCAATTTGAGAAGTTGTCAGAATTACCTAGCAAAATCACTGTTGATGTCACCCAAAATCTTCATTAAATCTGGATGAACAGATGTAAGTGACACACTGGGTGTTTTCCTCATGTGAATTGTACTTTTCTCTGCTAAGTTCATATGGTTGAAGTAGATAAACTTAAACTGGGGTTCCTTCTCAGACCTGTGGAAACATGGCATTAAAATGGTAACATTCTGAAAGAATAATTATCCAAACTATACAAGTATATTGCTGCAACTTCAAATTCCTGTGGCTAAGGCATGACATTTCCAGTGGTTAGGCCTTCAAGTCAAGAATCTCAGTTAAGAAACAACAGGCTACTCATTCATTAGTAACTTATCTGATACCTGTGAGGTATTCAATATGATGGAATTTTCCAGAAAGCTGAAGTTTATTTTGGTAAAAACCAGAAATATTTTTATTTTGTGATGACTTTCTTGATAAAAGTATAATGTCTTATAAATGGCTGATTATTTGCTGACTTAAGGAAAAAAAGCAAACTAAGCCAGTATAGGCCATTTATTGTCTAGTGCAGAGGTCAGTAAACTATGGCCCAGAGGCCAAATCAGGCCATTTTTCTAAATAAAGTTTTATTTGAACACTGCCACATCCATATGTTTATGTATCGTCTATGCCTACTTCCATGCTTAAACAATAGTTGAATGGCTGCAACATATACAGCCCATAAGATTTAAAGTATTTATCTTTTGGCCCTTTGCAGAAGTTTGCCAACCCCAGTTTTAGGATAGTAACATCTCATTTATCCCACAGATCTGGGAACAAACATGTTCCATGTATTTAATCTGCTACGGAACTGATGCTTACCACTCTGAGTAACCAAGTTTTTCATCATCCTAAATCATACTAGCCTTTTCTGCTGAAGCATAATGAACACCTGAATTGGGACAAATCGTTTATTACTGTGAATGATTGGGCAGTGCTACTAGCACGCTGCCTGGCAGGCTGGAGTCTGCGGCCCTCCTCAGGGCACTGAGAGCACCGGCCCGGCAGCTCAGGGCCTCCCCTCCCTCACCTCCACTGCACCCACGCTTAAGTCACACTCAAGCAACCCTGCCACTGGGGACTCAGGAGCCTTCTCTGCTTACTTCAGGGTTAGCAGCCACGTTCTGGAGGGCTGAGGGTGCCGGAAATCCAACCTCCGGACAAGTGGGTTACTACTGTAATACTTTACATCTAGGCAAAGAAAGAATGTGGGTGGTTTAGATTCCAGGAAAACGAAAAAAGAACTCTCACAAAACCAGAATTTGTTTGTAATAGGCCCCTAAAGCTAAGAAAAACAAGTATAACTACAAGAAAAACTGTTTGGAAGAATGAAAAATTTTAAAGATGTTTGTAAAGAGTTGTCAAGTTAGCTGCCTGGGTAGACAGACTTCTAACACAACTTTGATTGGCTGAAATTTCTGGCTGTTTTGTTGAACGCCCCAAACCCTTTGTGGCTTCCCTCTTCCCCTCCAGATGGGGCCTCTTTCCACTCCACCTGCCCCCAGGGATAATATAAAAACAAAAGAAGAAAAGTAGCTACTTGCTATTTCACTATTAACTTGGACTGTTAAAGACAGATGCTCACAATAAAAACAGCAAGGGTCATTTCATCCTACGAGCTTGTTATTTATCAACATAAATGTCTAAATGTAGTTTTGAGTCAGCAGCTGTCACGTTTGCCTGGTATTTTTTCCAAAGAGCTAAAATGTACTTCATTTCAACACCAAAGCCTTTTTTTTTCAAAACACAAACACATATACTTTTCTTGCCTTCTTAAAAAAGAACACACTGAACAGTTAATATATCAACATCAATACACTACACACAGGGAAGCAACACACAATTCTTCGTGGTCATTTGTTCTCGTCTGATACATAAAATACCGCAGCATAGTAACTGTGTCCTCAAAGAAGATGGAAGGGTGGAGGCTGGCTTAGGTAGTTAGTCTGTGCTTTCTCAGTTTGCGTGTCCACTGGGTTTTTTAAAAAGAATTTGTTTTCTGTCAGCCCTTTCTTCACATCCCTTTCCCTGTTTCTTCTACTATGAGCCAAAAAGCCAAGTAGCTATGGATGGTGGAGGGGTCACGAGGAGCTCTCCCAGGAGCAAAACAGCATCAATTTTACTGAGATGCCAGAGACTTAAATGTTTAAGGACCAGGTATGTGAAAACCCTTCTGAAGCCAGGAAAGGTCACTGCGTGCTTTGGACAGATGGAGGAGGGCAGATGCCCAGCAAGGGCCTGACAGCTCGGGGGGGTGAGGGGGGGGTACCACCTGACCCGTGGACTTCAGCGGCAGGCTGCAGGCACACACTGTCTGGAGGCTTTTACTTGCTCTGGGCTCTGCTCCCAACGGCTGTGGTCACCAGATACAGTTTCTACCTGGGTGCGGCTATTCCTCACTTAACCAATGGAACTAAAGGTAAAAAGATTCTGAACTGATTGATTTAGATATTGTGAAAAGGAAAACTGTCCCTAATTTATGGGTTATGTGTTACAGTTATTTCTCCTTTGCATCATAGATTAACTGAAGTGAGAGGCAGCTGAGAATCCATGGACTGTGCCCCTGAACTCCCCCCGGAAGGCAGACTTTCTCCGCCCTGCTCTACCAGCTCCGCCACCTCAGCCTCCAGCCATGGCTTGGGAGGCCCTCTCACTTTCCTCCGGTGCCCAGGCTCCAAGTCTGGGTCTGATCATCGCCCACCCTTCGTGTTAGTGGTTGGCATTTCTCACTTGTAGAAATTCCAGCATGACCAACCTCCTATGCAACTGGGTTGTTTTTATTCAAAAACACTGTCAACAAAGAATTATAAAAAAAACTGCTCACAGCAGTTTCCTTTTCTAATAACTTCCTACTTCGTCTTCCTTACAACTTTGTAAATTTAGTATCAGAATTGGCTACTGGAAAGGGATATGTGAAAGCAACAGAAACTAAAGTCTAGGATCCAAAACACTATCAACTTAGGGGAAAAATCTTAAGTTAGAGCCTCTCCTCAAGCCCTTACAAATTCAAGGTGAATTAAAGATTTATACACAAAATATAAAACCATAAAAGTACCAGAGGTAAAAATGGGATAATGAAAGCCCTAAATGTGACACTAAGGATAGAAATCTAAAGGAAAAGATTAATAAAACTAACCACACATAAATCCCAAACTTATGACAGTCGTAAAATCAAAGCTGGAAGAACGTGTGATACGACTAAAGGGTGTCACTTTAAGAGCACTGCCATCAAAGAAAGAGAAAGCACCTGGACTGGCATGGAAAGGGACCGGCAGAAGAGAGACCAGCAAACAGTGAAGAGAAGCCTAACCCAACCCCAGGGGCACGGGCCAGGCTGTGGGGCACAGGGAGCGTGGAAGTCAGTACTGGTGGTACCGGTGGATGGGGCCATGCTGTAGACGTGCGATCCCCATGCCCCTTGGAGGCAGGTCCTCCAGCTATCAGGGCACAGTCAGGGGGCAGAGAAAGGGGCCTGGGGCCTGGGGCTGCCAAGCAGGAAGCTAGGGCTTTAAAAATACTAGAAAGAGTGAGTGTGTTCCCTTTGCCCGCACACTGTAGGTCTGTAATCCAGGGATTCCTCCTAAGGGGATAATGTATGTACCAGAGTGTTTTAACGTTAATAGCCATCCCCAGGCTGCCAATCACGTGGGAGTGGGGAGGAGGCTCAAACAGATAGAACCCAACTGAATACCAGGAAGCCGATACAGAGAATAAGGCAGACTGATAATTACTGGTTTAAAATGATGCTCACACTGTATTTTATTTTAAAGCTACAGACTAACAGCATGATTTAGTTTCCAGAGCCCATCAGTAAAAAACACCATGTGTGCATGTCACCGAGTTTACATGTGTGTACAATTCTAAAAAGACAGAAGCCAAATGAAGTTAAGATTTCCAATATTTATGCTTCTGATTCTAAAAATTAAGGACATAGGTAACTCTCAAGAAAGAAAAAAATTAAAGATAACTGAATTTTAAGTCCTTGAGGAGAAAATATTGAGGTGTCACACAAACTGACAGAAACCAAAGACCAAACCAACTTATTTCGTACCATTCTTTAAAGGGCCGACCTCGGTGTCATGGGATCATTCAGTCGTAGTTATGAATATGGACCCAACACTGAACATGCCTTGGGCACGGCCCCTTGGGTGCTTTCTCGTGGGGGCTGCAGCTGCGGGAACTGGCCTCTGGGATGAGGACACCTGCACCAAATGGCCCTCTGCCCCCAAGGTGCTGCTGGCTTCTCCTCCTGTGGGGCTGTCCCTACCGTCTCTGGGGCACGAGTTTTGGAGGCCCCAGGACTGGTGTGTAAAATGGTGTGATCTGGGTTAGGAGGGTTTCCACAAGAAAAGTACTTATCTTTTATACTCAAAAGCTTTTCCCTTCAGTCTGGTGTGTGTGGCTTGGCAAGCAATAGCTCCTTAAATCTAAAATCTCAGATGCTTGACACCACTGGAATTCCTGTTCTTGGCCATGCCCCTAACCTGTGCAAATTTCACCACCATGTTCTCCAGGTGTTCTGTCCTTCAGGGGGCTGTGACACTGTACAGTTCTCTTAACAGTCCAGAAACTGTCCTCTAGGATAGACAGATGTGTGCCAAAACATACACAGCACAATGTGAGCCACAGAGTCTGAATGGCAGGTGTGTGCGTGTTCACTGTTCAAGTTTTTCCAACCTTCTTATGTTTGAACACTTTCATAATAAAATATGGGACAGAAAACTGTTTTCTGATGAAAGGGCAATTAACACCCAAGTCCTCTCCCTCGTCTGTGTAATCCCAAGGAGAGTCAACCTTATAGAAAGTGCTTGACAGCAAGTCAGCCTCTGGGTATCTGTCAGTCAGTCAGTCACCTGAAATCTGTACATCTACCGAAAGCACAGGCTGCCGGTGAACCTCCCCAGTCTGGGAATGCAGGCAATTACACGCCGCTTCTCTCCCCTCAATGGTTTCCAACTTGGATGATCCAAAACAGACCTGACTCACTTATGCCTCTTTCAAAACAGAAAATCTGGCAGTTTCATGGAGGAAACATTAAACGATTAAGCAGCACAGTCAAGACATAAATTGGTCAGGCACTTTCCTTTCTTGGCCTTATCTTTCCTAAAACTAAGGAATCTGTCAGCAGCAACAGTCTGCACAGATCTGAGACCTAAACGTACTTGCACTAGGAGGCTGTTTGTGACCTTGCTATAGACTGGAGCTTACATAACACCAAATACAGATACTGTGGGATGCTACAAACACAAGGTTATATATAAACCCACAGCATTTTAGTAACTTCTCAAACACACGGGAAGTCCATAGAAAGAGGGCTTTTATTTCTCAAATTACTTTCCATTTACTCACTTTATCTTTATAGTAATTCTACTTTACACTGAGAAGAAGATAGAAAGAGATTCAATGACTTGTCAGTGTTCTTGGAACCAAGGTGAGTTTAACCTTGGGTCCCCTGACACTCAGCCTAGAGTCCCCCACAGCACCAGACGCAGCACCAATGTCCTCACGGCACAGCCACCTTCACCTGCTCACCACTGTGCAGGAGGAAGCATGCTTTCAGTCTACACAGAGCAAAACCATGCTGACTACCACTATTGGGGAGAACTTCACCATCTGGGCGAGTCAGGCGGGACATCAGTGGTACCCAAGGCAAAGTCCACTGTCACCCAGTGTACCTCCCCCCTACTACAGTCATGCCACAATCAGGGCAGTGCTGAGGGGAAATATTAACAGCAGGCCCTGCCCCAACCATCAGCACAGGGCAAAACACCCTGGACAGCTCCCCAGGAAGCTTTTCAGACAGGACTGAACTATACATTTGTCCTTTGGAGTTTGACAAAACACAAATGTGAATGCCAGCTATATTCTCAAGTTAAGAATTAACTTATTCTTATTCTTCCCAAACCAGTTAACCGCTTGAAAGTAAACACAAAGTACAAACCCAGATATTCTTTTGTTGATGTTAAATTGCTCACAAATGTCAGATGCCAGCACTGTGAGCTGGGGCCCGACAATGCTGTCCAGTCTTCGGCAAAAATCCAACGTAGGCTGTACAGAGGCTAACAATTTAAAAAATACCAGTAAGTGTAATTATACTTTGTGTGAAAAAGGTCTTAACAGTATTCCAATGAAAACTTTACTGATCCAGGAAATAAGATGATTAAATAACCAGACCCCACCTCTCCCTGCCCAAACAGAAGAGAAACATGAGTCAAAATCAGTTACATTTCAGATGAGAAAGAGTCAAATACCTATCTCACTGTGACTGCTGATTTAAGCACACCCTGTGGGATGGGTAAACTGGCTACCTACCCCAGGAAGACCTAAGAAGCTCAAATATTCGGTTAACAAACACTACACAGCACTCATGGGCCAGGTGCTGTTTGGTGCCTTATGAACATTACCTCAGTTCATCCTCAAAGCCCCTGGGCACCAGGTCTTCCTGCTATCATGGTACAGTCAGGGGGCAGAGAAAAGTGCCCAGGGCCTGCTGCTGGCAAGCAGGAAGCAAGGGCTTTAAGAATACTCAAAATAGCTGGTTAAGGTGGCAGACATCCCAGATGGGAACAGTGCTTAACACAGTCCTCTATGTTGCTTATGATGATGTATTTATCATTTGGGAACAGAACACAGCAAACTGTAAAGATATAAGGCTCATCTACTCCAGGCTGAAATCAGGTACAGGTGTACCTACCGTCAATCATAAAACACACAGCAGCGCTCATGGCCTGGGCAGAGAAAACAAACCAAAGGTTATGGAATGGTACAAACGAGATGACCAACAATCAAACACAGTGACCTTGATCTTGATTTGAACAAGTCAACTTTATAAAGATATTTTTTAACTGGAGGAATACTGATACGGCCTGGGCATTAGACAGTATTGAGAAGTACTGTTTGCTTTGCCAGGGGTGATAACGGCACGGTGGTTATTTTTAAATACATGTCCTTATTAGTTAGAGATGCAAACTGAAGCATTTATAAGTGAAATGACATGATGATTTAAAATGCTCTGGCAAAATACAAAACCTGGAGAGAAGACAGAAGAAAAATCAGCATAATGTTAACAATTAAGTGGGGTGATGGGTGCCTGGGGATTCATTATTCTGTTTTTGCGTATGCTTGACAATTTCCATTAACACAGTTTTTAAAAAACTCAGCAAATTGATGTCATCTTGCCTCACTTTTTATTATAGCAAATTTTGCAGCTGTAATATTACCAAGTGACAGCAAGCTACAGTGACCAAGACCGTAGATGACATAACCAGAAACGCTTAAAGTTATCACAGCGATGTATAGTGTTAAAAAAAAGGCTATCAGAACACTGAGCCTCATGATGAAAAAAAAACAGCCTTTTGTCTCTGAGGCCTGTTCCCACAGCAACCACTTCTGACAGACTGAGATAGTCATAACCCTGCCACCGTCAGACAGTACCAACCTCCTGCTCACATCACAACAGACATGATCCCTCCTTTGCCTTCCTCCCTGTAGGTCAGAGCCACTCTAGTTCCTCCACAGGCCATACAGCCCCATTTGGCTCATTTCTCAGGCCACCAGTTACAGGCAAGAGCTCCTGAGTTGCCCCTTTTTACATGAGGACATTTACCTTCCAACTGTCCCATCACCTCTCCCCACCTCCACCTCTCAACCTCTATCAGCTGTAACTATTTTTACATGGTCACAGTTAATAACATCCACACTATTTAGTAACTAAATCCTAATTATTATTTGTCTGTAAAAAGGTTGCAAAATTGGTGGCTTATAGGCCAGTTTGGATTAATACATGTGTTCGTTTTTGTGTAGGAAGCAATTTTGACTCGGATATCACCTAGTTTCCTACTAAAATTCCTATTTCCAGCCTCCCCTGGAATATCAGGACATCTGGGATGCTGGCTTCATATCGACTCTGATGCAGCTCATGGATCTGCATAGTGGCCAGCCTCCTTGGGACACAGGTTGCTAGATCCCAGTCTGCACCACTCCACACCGAAGCCCGCTCCAGCTTACTGCCCTTTGCCCACCACTTGTGGGGCTTCTGTAGGCAGCTGCGCGTGTGACCCCCGAGAGGTTGAGTTCTTAAAATGTGTCTTTTTCTATTTAAAAACTTCAAGAATTTCGAATATGTAAAAAAAGTATGCAGAATATAATGAATGTGAATTATGTGAATTATATCTCAAAGAAATGTTTTTTAAGAAAGATAACTCCATTGTAACTATGATGCCACAACATCTAAAGTTTCATCTACTGGTTAACTCAAAAAGTGGAAATCCAATCAACAGCAGAGTGTACCAGGCTTCTTCTACCTGAATCATTCAAAGGAGAATGATTTTAGCTTGGTATAAAAACAGACTTTTTCCCTACTCCAATTACTGCTCCCAATTATATCTCACTTCACTTTGGTTCATTTTCAGACCCCAACCTCTTGCATGTTTGCCCTGGAATTCTCTCCTCCTGTTACCACTATCACATTCAACATTTAATCAAATCTCTTAATCACACAACTATGAATGAGACGTCTTAGCCTGGAGCCCTCCCTCCTCTGTTCCGTGATGCGAGTACGGGCGCTAAGCCTGCCGGCAGACCTCAAACACTCCCTCACCTAGAGCCTCCCTCACCGTTCTGGGGCCAGCCTCTTTGGGATTCCAAGGTGTGTTCTCTCTCATTCTCCTCACTTACTCCACCGAGGCACAATCTTATGCAACATCCTAAGAAAGGATTCTGGGTGACCTTCTGGAGACTTCTTGTGTTTCATCTGTATTTTTTCTTGACAGTTTGGTGTGGCAAAGATTTCGCCAGCACTGAAAGACATTTTCCCTCGGAACTTGGAAAGGCTTCCTTTCTTTGTCAACTGACATCTAACGCTGCTAAGCAAACAGCTAATGCCAGTTTTATTTACAGGTGAGCTGATTTTCCTTCTGGAAACTTGCAGGATATTCTCTTTGTAATTTCAAAACTACCCATTGTGTGGGTAGCAGTGGGCGTTTTCAATCTGGAAAATGTGATCCTCTTCAGCTAGACATATTCTCATTCTGTTACTTTCCTCATTTCCTCTCCTCCACTATGTTAATCATATGTTGAAATTCCTCTCTTCCATCTTTCCTCTGCATCTTTCTCTCTTGTCATTTTACTGTATATTCGAGGGTAGGGAAACTGACCTTCAACCCTTCTAATGAATTTCTTATACCAAAATTATATCTTCAGAGGAAGGGGGAGCTGAGGGATTACTGCTCAGTGGGTACAGAATTTCTTTTCGGGGTGAAGGAAAGTTCTAGAAATAGTGATGACAGTTGTACAATACTGTGAATGTACTTAATGTCAATGGTACACTTAAAAATTGTTACAGTGGCAAATTTTATACTCTAGATACCTGGCCACAAAAACTTTTTAAAATTATTTCTGATTAACCTGAGTCTAAAATATATCATGACTTTTTCAGGTCTTCCTGTTTCAGTTTTATAGACACACTTCTCCAATTTCAGGACACTAATTTTTTTTAAGTTCTCTTCTGTTTCCAGAATCATTTTTGTTATACTCAGGACCTATAGTTTTGTATTTCCAATCGTATGTCTGGATGAGTGAACTGAGAGGCTGGGCGGGGAGGGAGGCCTCCCTTGGCGGCAGGATGTGGGTGGCAGCTGTGCTGGGCATTTACCTCCCACCCGTCCCTAGCAGGAGGAGGGGGGCTTCAGTCCCAGGTGCAGACACACATTAGCCACTCCAGGTCTCTCTAGACTGCTTTCCTTAAAAGGACCTTCCCTTTTCACCAGGGATAAGTGCTCAGCTGCCCTCTGTGTGTAGCGATGAGCTTGAGCTGTGTACAACACTTCACTACGGCCCTGCTTTCCAAGCCCACTTCCCACTCCTGATGTCTCTGGCTCCCTGGGGCCGGGGGCTCCCCCTCCCAGTGCATGTCTCAGGAGGCACTCCTGCCCCTCTGCTGTGGGGTTCCCCCCTCATCTCCTCTCTATCTTCCAGGAAGACCCAGCAGATCCTCAACCTCTCATGTTCATCTCCTTCCTGGGCTCTTTTATCATTTCTACACCTTTATGAATTAAAACATAATTGCAATCTCAGGCAGGAAGGAAGATAAACACATATGCTCAGCCTTCTTTCTTGAACCAAAAATTGTCCTTAAATACAAAACAAAACAAAAAACAACTAACCTAATACATATCCTTACAAGTTAAGGTCCTGACAGAAACTAAGATGACCGTATAGAATTAGTGAGGCCACAGCTTTAAAAGCAGAACAAAAGCAGAATTCACTTCGGGCGGCCAGGTCCACACCAGAAGGCTTTGAGAGGCAGTGTGACCTTCGGCAGCCCTGATCTGTGAGTGTGGCTGAAAGCAAATGTCTGCAAGTCACAGCCTTCGATGGTGACTCTCTCACTAATAACAAAACTGTTTAAAAGGAATAAACCTACTATTCCAGAAGAGCACGCATTTTGAGTTTTACAATAATTAGAACTTCCAACATCTGTTCCAGAAACATTTAAGGGGTTTGCATACATATTCCTGTACATGTGCAAGAAAGATTTACTTTAGCATTCACCTGCAACATGAGGGAAAAACAGTTGTTACCTTATAAACAATTAAGTGGAGTGCCTCGTAAGTTTCATCTGTGTTCACAAAAATTTGGGGGAATCTGCATTTTGCTTCTGGATCATTAAGGTTCAAGGGTCCAGTAAGAAATCTGAAAAGCACAGAGCTGACTCAATTCAATCAGGTAAATTGTAAAAAGGAATATATAAACAGAGTACATTCCTACTTAATAAACATCCATTTTTTTCTTGAAGCTAGATACTACCTGGAAAACACCAAATCAGAATATAATAAACTAGAATTATTAACTCACAGGAAACAATAGGATTTCCTTTGTTTATTTTTGCTAATAAAATAATGCAGTAATCTAGTGCTCATGATTTTATCTATACCAACTAAAATAACAAAATCCAATACTGTGTATCAAAGAACAAAGTCCTACCTTCCATAATGTTGTAGATTTCCTGGCATTTCTGACCTTATTGGAGAATCCCTTCCCGCCAACTGGAAACAAATTTAATGTTGAGAAGTGACTTACTAGATTTCCAACTTTCAAAGCTTTGAAAAACAGCATTCATATTCATCAGTTGCTTTAGGCCATTTTTCTCTATCAATTTCTCATATTCCCTCCCACCAAAATAAGGGGGGGGGTGCCTACAAGGTACCTACAGACGCACTGATTTTTTTTAAATTTTGGTATCATTAATCTACAATTATATGATGAACATTATGTTTACTAGATTCTTCCGATCACCAAGTTCCCCAAACATACTCTATTGCACTCACTATCCATCAGCGCAGTAAGATGCTGTAGAATCACTACCCTCCCCGTGACCCCCACCCCACATTATACATGCTAATCATAATGCCCCATTTCTTCCCCCCACCCCTTATCCCTCTCTTCCCACCCTCCTCCCCAGTTCCTTTCCCTTTGGTAACTGTTAGTCCATTCTTGGGTTCTGTGAGTCTGCTGCTGTTTTGCTCCTTCAGTTTTTTCTTTGTCCTTAAACTCCAGATAAATGAAATCATCTGATACTTGTCTTCCTCCGCCTGGCTTATTTCACTGAGCATAATACCCTCTAGCTCCATCCATGTTGTTGCAAATTGTAGGATTTGTTTTCTTCTTATGGCTGAATAATATCCCATTGTGTATATGTACCACATCTTCTTTATCCATTCATGTACTGATGGACACTTAGGTTGCTTCCATTTCCTGGCTATTGTAAACAGTGTTGTGATAAACATAGGGGTGCATCTGTCTTTTTGAAACTGGGCTGCTGCATTCTTAGGGTAAATTCCTAGGAGTGGAATTCCTGGGTCAAATGGTATTTCTATTTTGAGTTTTTTGAGNTCTTCTTTAGAGAACTGTCTGTTCAGCTGGTCTGCCCATTTTTTAATTGGATTATTTGCTTTTTGTTTGTTGAGGTGTGTGAGCTCTTTATATATTTTGGATGTCAACCCTTTATCGGATCTGTCATTTATGAATATATTTTCCCATAGTGTAGGATGTCTTTTTGTTCTATTGATGATGTCCTTTGCTGTACAGAAGCTTTTCAGCTAGAGATAGTCCCACTTGTTCATTTTTGCTTTTGTTTCCCTTGCCTGGGGAGATATGTTCATGAAGAAGTTGTACATATTTGTGTCCAAGAGATTTTTGCCTATGTTTTTTTCTAAGAGTTTTATGGTTTCATGACTTACATTAAGGTCTTTGATGCATTTCGAATTTACGTTTGTGTATGGTGTAAGACAGTGATCCAGTTTCATTCTCTTACATGTAGCTGTCCAGTTTTGCCAACACCAGCTGTTGAAAAGGCTGTCATTTCCCCATTGTATGTCCATGGCTCCTTTATAATATATTAATTGAATGTATATGTTTGGGTTAATCTCTGGACTCACTATTCTGTTCCAATGCTCTGCGTGTCTGTTCTTGTGCCAGTACCAAATTGACTTAATTACTGTGCCTTTGTAGTAGAGCTTGGAATTGGGAAGCAAGATCCCCCTGGTTTATTCTTCCTTCTCAGGATTGCTTTGGCTATTCGGGGTCTTTTGTGGTCCCATATGAATTTTAACACTATTTGTTCCAGTTTGTTGAAGAATGCTGTTGGTAATTTGATAGGGATTGCATCAAATCTGTATATTGCTTTGGGCAGGATGGCCATTTTCATGATATTAAGTCTTCCTAGCCAAGAGCATGGGATGAGTTTCCATTTGTTAGTGTCCTCTTTAATTTCTCTTAAGAGTGTCTTGTAGTTTTCATGGTATAGGTCTTTCACTTCCTTGGTTAGGTTTATTCCTAGGTATTTTATTCTTTTTGATGCAATTGTGAATGGAATTGTTTTCCTGATTTCTCTTTCTGCTAGTTCATTGTTAGTGTAAAGGAGTGCAACAGATTTCTGTGTATTAATTTTGTATCCTGTAACTTTGCTGAACTCAGATATTAGTTGTAGTAGTTTTGGAGTGAAGTCTTTAGGGTTTTTTATGTACAATATCACATCATCTGCAAATAGTGACAGTTTGACATCTTCTTTACCAAACTGGATTCTTTGTATTTCTTTGTTTTGTCTGGATTGCTGTGGCTAGGACCTCTAGTACAATGTTGAATAAGAGTGGGGTGAGTAGACATCCCTGTCTTGTTCCCGATCTTAAAGGAAAAGCTTTCAGCTTCTCGCTGTTAAGTATGATGTTGGCTGTGGGTTTATCATATATGGCCTTTATTATGTTGAGGTACTGCCCTCTATACCCATTTTGTTGAGAGTTTTTATCATGAATGGATGTTGAATTTTGTCGAATGCTTTTTCAGCATCTATGGAGATAGATGATCATGTGGTTTTTGTCTTTCTTTTTGTTGATGTGGTGGATGATGTTGATGGAGTATTGAATGTTGTACCATCCTTGCATCCCTGGGATGAATCCCATTTGGTCATGGTGTATGATCCTTTTGATGTATTTTTGAATTTGGTTTGCTAATATTTTGTTGAGTGTTTTTGCATCTACATTCATCAGGGATATTGGTTTGTAGTTTTCTTTTTTGGTGGGGTCTTTGCCTGGTTTTGGTTTTAGGGTGATGTTGGCTTCACAGAATGAGGTTGGGAGTATTCCCTCCTCTTCTATTTTTTGAAAAACTTTAAGGAGAATGGGTATTATGTCTTCTCTGTATGTCTGATAAAATTCAGGGGTGAATCCATCTGGCCTGGGGGTTTTGTTCTTGGGTAGTTTTTTGATTACCGATTCAGTTTCGTTGCTGGTAATTGGTCTGTTTAGATTTTCTGTTTCTTCCTTGGTCAGTCTTGGAAAGTTGTATTTTTCTAGGAAGTTATCCATTTCTTATAGGTTTTCCAGTTTGTTAGCATATAGATTCTCAAAGTATTCTCTAATAATTCTTTGTATTTCTGTGGGGTCCATCATGATTTTGGTTTTCCCATTTCTGATTCTGTTGATGTGTGTAGATTCTCTTTTTCTCTTAATAAGTCTGGCTAAGGGCTTATCTATTTTGTTTATTTTCTCAAAGAAACAGCTCTTGGTTTCACTGATTTTTTTCTATTGTTTTATTCTTCTCAATTTTACTTATTTCTTCTCTGATCTTTATTATGTCCCTCCTTCTGCTGACTTTGGGCCTCATTTGTTCTTCCTTTTCCAGTTTCAATATTGTGACTTTAGACTATTCATTTGGCATTGTTCTTCTGTCTTTAAAAAGGTCTGGATTGCTATATACTTTCCTCTTAGAACTGCCTTTGCTGCATCCCACACAAAAGTTGGGACTTTGTGTTGTTGTTTTCATTTGTCTCCATATATTTTGATCTCTATTTTAATTTGGTCATTGATCCATTGATTATTTATGAGCATGTTGTTAAGCCTCCATCTGTTTGTGAGCGTTTTTGTTTTCTTTGTACAATACATTTCTAGTTTTATACCTTTGTGGTCTGAGAAGTTGGCTGGTAGAATTTCAATCTTGGAATTTACTGAGGCTCTTTTTGTGTACTAGTATGTGGTCTACTCTGGAAAATGTTCCATGTGCACTTGAGAAGAATCTGTATCCTGCTGCTTTTGGGTCTAGAGATCTGTAGATGTCTGTTAGGTCCATCTGTTCTAGTGTGTTGTTCAGTGCCTGTGTCCTTACTTATTTTCTGTCTGGTGGATCTGTCCTTTGGAATGAGTGGTGTGTTGAAGTCTCCTAAAATGAATGCATTGCATTCTATTTCCTCCTTTAATTCTGTTAGTATTTGTTTCACATATGTTGGTGCTCCTGTATTGGGTGCATATATATTTATAATGGTTATATCCTCTTGTTTGACCCCTTT